CCGACGCGACGTCATTCGGCCCTCGGACAGTCCATGGGCGTCTCCTGTTGTTCTTGTTGCGAAGAAAGATGGTTCTGTGCGGTTCTGTGTGGACTACAGACGGCTCAATAAGATCACTCGCAAGGATGTCTACCCACTGCCGCGTATCGACGACGCAATTGACAGCCTTCACGGAGCCCAATTTTTTTCTTCTCTCGATCTGCGCTCGGGGTACTGGCAAGTACCCCTGGCTGATGACGCTCGACCGAAGACTGCCTTCATCACACCCGACGGCTTGTACGAATTCAACGTCATGCCGTTTGGTCTGTGTAATGCACCTGCGACATTTGAGCGCATGATGGACACCGTACTGCGCAACTTGAAATGGCACACGTGCTTGTGTTACCTCGATGATGTTGTTGTCTTCGCTCCAGATTTCTCCACCCATCTCCAACGTCTAAAAGAAGTTTTCGCACGTGTGAGCAATGCCGGCTTGCAACTAAATCTGAAGAAGTGCCGCTTTGCAGCACGCCAACTCACCATCCTAGGGTACGTCGTGTCCAAGGATGGCATTCTTCCTGACCCAGCCAAGCTTCGGGCCGTGGCCGAATTCCCAAAACCTGCGTCCGTCAAAGAACTGCGTAGTTTTCGTGGGCCTGTGCTCATACTTCCGACGCTTTATACGAAACTTCGCCACGATTATATCACCGCTGACGAAGCTCCTCGGAAGTAACGGGCCCCTAAATTCGTGGTCGTCAGAGTGCGACAACGCGTTCTTGAAGCTCCGCCACTTGTTGACGTCTCCTCCCATTCTCCGCTACTATGACCCTACGGCCCCAACAGAAGTGCACACGGACGCCAGTGGTGTAGGCCTCGGCGCTGTCCTGGCGCAGCGCAAACCCGGGTTCCCTGATTATGTTGTGGCATATGCAAGCCGTACGCTCACAAGAGCCGAGACAAACTACACCGTCACGGAAAAAGAGTGCCTGGCAATCGTCTGGGCTCTTAGAAAGTTTCGACCTTATTTGTATGGTCGCCCATTCGATGTCGTCACTGACCATCATGCACTATGCTGGCTGTCATCATTGAAGGATCCCTCAGGCCGCCTCGCCCGTTGGGCTCTTCGCTTACAAGACTACGACATCCGCGTCCTCTACCGCAACGGACGCCAGCATGCTGACGCCGACGCCTTCTCGCGCTCCCCTCTGCCTGAAGCTAACGTGCTCTGCTCAGTATCCTCGGTTGTTTCTGCCATTGATGTTGACATCATCGCTACCGAACAGCGAAAGGATAATTGGATCGCCCAACTGATCGACTTGCTCTCTGATCCGTCCGCAACGCCATCCACGCGTGCCTTGCGTCGTCGAGCTCACCATTTCGCCATTCGTGACGGCCTCCTACACCGACGCAATTACGACGCCGATGGCCGGCAGTGGCTACTCGTGATACCCCGCAGTCTGCGGTCGGAGATATGTGAATCCTTCCATTCTGATCCACAGTGCGCGCACTCTGGGGTATTCAAAACCTACCATCGCATTAGACAACGCTACTTCTGGCGCGGGATGTACCGCTACGTCCAGCAGTTCGTTCGCTCCTGTCGCGCTTGCCAACGCCGCAAACCGTCCGCACACATGTCACCAGCCGGTCTGCAACCACTACCTTGCCCTGACCGTCCGTTTGGGCGCATAGGTATCGATTTGTACGGACCACTTCCTCTGACGTCCACTGGCAACCGCTGGGCCATCGTCGCCGTAGATCATTTAACGCGATACGCCGAAACCGCCGCTCTCCCTGCGGCTACTGCGCGTGATGTTGCGTCCTTCCTACTCATCATCATCATCAGCCTGACTACGTCCACTGCAGGACAAAGGCCTCTCCCATGTTCCGCCAGTTAACCCGGTCCTGTGCTTGCTGCTGCCAATTTATACCCGCAAACTTCTTAATCTCATCTGCCCACCTAATCTTCTGTCTCCCCCTAACCCGCTTCCCTTCTCTGGGAATCCAGTCAGTTACCCTTAATGACCAGCGGTTATCCTGTCTACGCGCTACATGCCCTGCCCATGTCCATTTCTTCTTCTTGATTTCAGCTATGATATCCTTAACCCCCGTTTGTTCCCTAATCCATTCTGCTCTCTTCTTGTCTCTTAACGTTACACCTACCATTTTTCTTTCCATTGCTCGCTGCGTCGTCCTCAATTTAAGCTGAACCCTCTTTGTAAGTCTCCAGGTTTCTGCTCCGTAGCTAAGTACCGGCAAGATACAGCTGTTATATACCTTCCTCTTGAGGGATAGTGGCAATCTACCTGTCATAATTTGAGAGTGCTTGCCGAATGTGCTCCACCCCATCCTTATTCTTCTAGTTACTTCAATCTCATGGTTCGGCTCTGCGGTTATTACCTGCCCTAAGTATACATAGTCTTTTACAACTTCAAGTGCACTATTACCTATCTCGAAGCGCTGCTCCTTGCCAAGGTTGTTATACATTACTTTCGTTTTCTGCAGATTAATTTTAAGACCCACCTTTCTGCTCTCCTTGTCTAACTCCGTAATCATGAGTTGCAATTCGTCCCCTGAGTTACTCAGCAATGCAATGTCATCGGCGAAGCGCAGGTTACTAAGGTATTCTCCATTGACTCTTATCCCTAACTGTTCCTACTACATCGATTTATATTGCGCCACGGTCCACCCCAGGAGCTTCACAGCGATCGAGGCCGTGTCTTCTTGTCAGAAGTCGTCGATGCCATTCTCACTGAGTGCCATTCTGTCCATCGCAAAACTACTGCTTATCACCCGCAGACGAATGGTCTGACCGAACGCTTTAACCGCACCCTCGGCGACATGCTGTCGATGTACGTCGCCGCCAACCACACGAATTGGGATACCATACTGCCCTTCGTCACTTACGCCTACAACACCGCCCCTCAGAGCACGACTGGTTTTTCACCTTTCTTTTTGCTGTACGGAAGGCACCCGTCACACACCATCGACACGATACTCCCGTACACGCCGGATCCATCTGAGTGTACACCTATTTCCGAGACCGCCAGGCTTGCTGAAGAGTGTCGCGAGCTTGCCAAGACTTTTACGACGCATGAGCAAGAGCGGCAGAAGAGTATTCGTGATGGCTCCGCCACTTCTGAGCCCACCTTTCTTCCTGGTTCCCTTGTATGGCTCTCAATCCCGACCTCTGTAGCTGGCCTTTCTTCCAAACTACTCCCGAAATATGAAGGTCCCTACCGTGTGATCGAGCGCACATCTCCGGTCAACTATCTTATCGAGCCAATTGAACAATCTTCGGACATGCGCCGCCGCGGGCGCGACATAGTCAACGTGGAGCACCTGAAGGCTTACTATGACCCGCTCGTAGTGACAAGCTGTTAGGTCGCCAGGCGGCTCCCTCTTCGACCCCGGGGTAATTGTACAGAAGCCGCCGAACACTGAAGTGGGTCGAACTCTTATGTGCTTTCTAGTGGGTCTGCCCAAAGAGAACGCCGCTCGTGCGGAGACCTCGTGTTTTGGCCGTTACTGTCGCCATTGTGTAGACTCGCTGTGTGCCGGCTAATAAACGCCATAACAATATATATATATATAATATATATATATATATATATATATATATATATATATATATATATATATATATATATATATATATATATATATATATATATAGATAGAGAGAGAGAGAGAGAGAGAGAGAGAGAGAGAGAGAGAGATGCGCAGGGACAGCGAGGGACGACGGAAGAGAAGATAGGAAGGATGAAACACGGTCGCAGGAATCCGAGGACGGGGCACCACTGGCGAGAGCTCTTGTCGGCAACAGGAGATTGAGTAGGGCTAATCCAGTCGGCCAGAGCTACGCTGTCGTCGTCGTCGGGGACCGGCATCTGGACGTGGCGTAGGACCAACCCAGTCGGCCAGAGCTGCACTGTCGCCGGAGATCGCGAGAGCACAACCGGTCGGCCCGGAATCCAGTGAGCGCATGCATTCATGCATGTTCTGCGCAGTACTTCACCCGAAGTTTACGGTGATCCCAATCTCGCCCAATTGTCGACCTTGCTAAACCTGCCAACTGGATCATTTGTTTGATATTCTAGAGCATATTTCACCTGTTGTGTTTGTCCCTTATTTTTTCATTAAAGACTGTGTTCCAATTCATTTAGTCACTTTTTCTAAATACGTATGCGCAAACAGCTAGCTCTTGCTCGTTTAGACTGATAGAGACCCTTCTACATTAAATAGCGCCGATCTTCCCCTTTGAACTGAAACTGTTCCTTCACTTGCTTTCACAGTCGTATTGATTCAAGAGTGTTATGCCAATACCGACTTTCCACACCTTTTACTCATACATATTGTGTAAAAGAAAATATATAGTCTCGATCGTCAGCCATGGCCAGAACACCGCCGTTGGCGCTGTCCCCGACCTGTATTCGCTTAACTACAGTGAGCTTGATAGTAGCTTAAAGTTAACGTTTATTTTGAACCCAAAAATACCTTTTTACGTTATTAGAAGCACTGAACAGGTTTTTCTGATCCAGTTATTTAAGTTTAAGGCGAATCGATTGCAATGCGTTTGCTAGAGGGCAGAATTAAGAAAGGACTGATAATTTACTGGCGACAGAATAAACTACCTAAGAAAGGCAGGCTTACTAAAAAAATTAATCGTACATAAATAAAACACCAAGAGAACACAATGGCGGCGGCGGCGCGCCGATCTGTTGGCGTCGGTGGCGCAGTGAAAACTGTCGGCGGCAGCACGCCGACGTCTCGGTACAGTATTCTAGCCACTGTAGTCTCGGCGCACACCTTATGAGTGCCTTATAATGTGCTGCAAAAAAAAAAAAAAAAACAATGCAATCGCAAAATACAGTAGATGCATTGCGGATGTTTTAAGAACACAGTTAAAATATTAAATAAAGCATGCGTTTTTTTACCAGTAACATAGACATTGTGGCGGCCATATGACGGATATAAAGTTTAAGTATATTTTTAACTGCGAAGTATCCGTGCTTATAGTTTCTGCGGAACTGCTTTGACCTGTGAGTGTTTACTTGCGCGAGCACGTACACACGAAATGGAATATCCGTTAACTTGTGCCTGTAACTCTTTGTCACCTTGATTCTGCGAATGCATTGAAAATAAGCTGTTGATGATACTTTGCTAACTGCAAAACCTGCCACAAAGAGTGCGTTTTTACAGAGAGCGCTGCGTAGTTTCCAACAGACATGCACAAGCACGCAGTTCTCCGGCAAGTTCGCCTCCTATCGGAGGCTCGGCTATCACGTGACTATCGGCTGGAGGGAGCGTCGCTGAAAGCTCATAGCTACTGTGTAGAAACAGCTGTTCGTCGTTCCGCATCTACCATGGCTGGGAGAACGGTGTCTCTTGACAACATAAATCCCCACCTCATAACTATGGAGTATGCTGTTCGTGGTCCCATAGTTATTCGAGCAGGGGAAATCGAAAAGGACCTTAAAGCGGTGAGTACGTTACACTTCCGTTCACCATGCTTCGCGTATACGTGACATGCTGCGGCTACCCGGTTTCATGTTCCAGGCGGCTGCACGTTCTTGCAGGAGCCTGCTCGGTTGTTACTACTGCCATGCTCGCGAAACTTTAAGCACCGATTATTTGTTAAACGGCACAGCAGATGTGTTGAGCGGCTGTACGCGCGGGTGTAGTCACTCTCGGTCTGTCTCCGTGCGGGGCTGCGCGTGACTTCTTCCTTTTTTTTTCTTCATCTATGCCTGCGCGTGTCAGTGAGCAGTGAAATGTACTGCTAGAAAAACAGCTTTCGGCAGTGCTTTGAGCGCTTTCCGTAGTCATGGCGAAGCCGCATTCCGCGAAGTGCGAATTACGGAGCAGATAACGGACATGATTGACGGAATTTCACGATTAAGATTACGCCGGCGCGGCGAGTAATCTACGATATCATTTTATTTTCTACCGCAGTAAAAAGCGGCTTCGCTCGAAAAGTTCTAGAGTTTGATTATGTACACCGCAAGCAAATGCTTTTACACTGATTCAACCTCATATGCATGGTACGGCAATGCTCATGACCCGTTAATATGTTTTTAAATATTTATGTACACTGGATATTTTTTTCTTCTCTAGGGCAAGAAGTTCAACTTCACTGAAGTGATACGAGCCAACATAGGCGATTGTCATGCAATGGGTCAAGTGCCATTGACCTTCTTTCGCCAGGTATTATAACCCAACATTCCTTTTCCTTAAAAAAAAAAAAAATCCTGCATGAAAAAAAAAAGTTCATCATCGTCTTATTCCCTTCAGGTGAACATTATGGACTGTATTTATATTCGTAAAATTTACACAACTTTATTTCAAGGTACTCTATAAGAAAGAGAAGATGGTAATCTGTTGATTTGTTCATTTTTCAGTTATTAATATTAGTGTGTAATTAACTATCTATTTATTCTGCAGTCATTCATGCTCTTTTTTGAGTAAAAATAATGAACCCTCGAGCTTAAAATGCATGAACAATTTATTGCTTATGTCTATTCAAGCAAAAATAAAATAAAATGGGATTTTGGCTTGGGTTTTCGGAATTGGTCAGAATGCAAAGCTCGTGAAACATGGCAGTGTCTTCAGAAAAGTGAAATAAATAGAAAGGCCCATAAATAGAAAGGCCTTTAAATAGAAAGGCCCATATTCAAGTGCTCATTAAAGTCCTGCAATTTTTTGAAAAATGTGAGACTTTTTGCACCACCCCTGACAACAGTGAAAACTTTACAAGCTATGTAACTTGTTGAGGAAACGATCTCATTCTTTTTTTTTTTTGCTACACGAGGCCATCTGCAACATCATCTGCATAAAAATGTGTGTTAGAATATTTTGTGGTTTATCTATATTTGAAAAAAAAAAATAAATATGAAGGCGGAAAACAATGCTTGGACATAATGACACAGATTGGCATATGACTGTCGGCTGGTAAGTTTTTACACTTGTACATACATGTAGATTCGAAAGAAAGGAACATTAGAAGCACCATCGTTAAAATGAAGGGAATGAAAACTAATGAGGCATCTCATGTATTGGGCAACTGCTCTATAGGTGTGCATTCTGGTAAAGGTAACATACTTCAAATTATTTTATGTGCATTTCAAAATGTCTCCAACAGAAAATTTACTAGGAGCTTTAAAGGGGCCCTGAAACACTTTAAAGGGATCCTGAAGAGCTTATTGCCTCTTAAATTGAACGCTGGAAAAATGTTAAGAATCCGTCTGGTGCGAGTGAGTGGAGTTGCAAAGATTTGTCGCATGCTGCAATTGCATGCTCTCCTCTTTTGTCTTCATGAAAGCGCTGGAAGCTAAGCAGGGAGTGAGGGCAGGGGCAAAGAAAATAGGTCACACACGCCTCGTGACCCTTGAGCACTTTTTTTTTCTTTGAATGCGCAGCTTTGTCAGTGTGATCGCGTGCGCACGCAAGGACAAGTTGCGGCCTCTCGCAGCGATCTCTGTAACGATCGAGAGTGCCATGTTTAAATCAGCCAATGGCGGATAGATGACTTTCTAAGAGTGGTTTTTGAGTGTCTTGTGTCATTTGTTGAGAGAAGAGAAAGCTATTTTTGCTGACTTTGAAAATTTATTGTAAATTGCAGGCCGCATGCGGCTCTATAATAGTTGGCTCGCGTGTTCTCGGGAGTCTCTACTACCAATCGGCTGAGTTTTCTGACCATGCTCAAAAATTGTTGCAGGGCAGCTTTAAGCTAAATGTCAAAGGGCAGTTCAAGTTCTTGTAAGCTTCTTGGTGGTTACCATTAGCTTGCATTTACTGGCTGAAGGCTCTTAATAGTATGCAGTCTTAATTCACAGCTATACATTGCAGCATAATTTTCATTTTTAGATTTCATCCTCTTTTAAAGAAGGTTGTTATGAGTGTAATTTAATTAGAACTTTTGCGGGTGGCAACATACTTTCTTTGTGACATTTACTTTTACTTCATATTCGATAAACTGGCCAAATGTGCATTACCTATGCATTTCGACGTAGGTTTTGAAAGCTTGTTTCATTTTCATTTCCTTTAAAATATTTTTTTCTTCGCTTTACAGAGTTGATGAAGAGGTAATATTCAAGGGGGACATGTGCAGTCCTCTGGATGGAGAGGACTGCACTACGTGGCTTCTTGCATGTTGACTATACTCATGCTATGCCAGTTTGTTTTTCTGCTCGTTTTTCTAGTAGGAATTGATGCCTACACCTTATGACAGTTTTGTAAAGCTGTAATTACACTAAAAGCCACTATAAGTAGAAAACTTCTTGTTGGATGTTGTAAATCGTTTAAAGAATGTATCATTTTCTTCCAAGGTTTGGTTTTTTAAAGGTAAAATGGCAGAGCAACAAATCTTAAAAGAAAATCAGAAGTAGCTTATGCTTACTCTAAATGCCACCTGCTTTTCTCAGTATTGAAAGTGGACCTACTTTTGGAACTTTGCATCAGAGTTGTGATTGATGTTTCCCATTTTTTTTGGTTTCTACTCCTGTGGCTGAACGCAGATAACACATTTAGAGAGAAGCCTTGGGGATTAGAACTACAGTCCTCCGTTGCATGAACCCTTTGTAGTCCACAGTGCAGCTTCACAAAACCCCATCAGTCAATCACTTTTCCTTCTATCGGCAGCAGTTTGACATGCTGGTGTCAGCTGGCATTGCCAGCTCCTGTAGTTTGTTGCTATGAATGCAGCACAACCTTCCTGCTGATGCATAGAATTGTCGTTTCTGTCATGCATGCAGCTGAACTTTTAGTTTGCACCTGTTGGCTTCTATAGTTATTAGCTGAAGTGCTAGGTGCTTTGTGCTCATATTCATTAAGGCTGTTCAAAATTAAACTCCTCAAATAAATTTTTGGTTGAACAGTTAGTTGATAACGGCAAGATGCCAGTCTTTAGTGTGTCATTATGCAGCATTGCTAGATTCAACTTTTCTATTATGAATGAAAATGTTTGTAGCTTGTGTGCTCTTTTCATGATCATTTTGGCATTTTCTTGCTCCCTCTCTCTAAGGTTATAGCAGCGTGTGCAAAACCTGACTTGATGAAAGGGGACTTGTTTCCAGCTGATGTCAAATCAAGAGCTCAAAATATTCTGGAGGGCTGTGGAGGAAAAAGCGTAGGTGAGCACTAGTGACTTGGAGCACACTTTAAACTTTGTTTACACATTTCATATGCCGACATGACAACTGGCAAATACGGATAAAGCAATGCTCATGTGCTTGATCATGTAAATTAAAATGCTTCACCACAAGTTTTATTTTTATGATGCTGCCAATTAAATTTCTACTGATGCATTTTGTTGCATTGAAAGGTTTAGGTACAGTATATAGTAACTTCATGCTGATGTGCTCTTTTTTACAAGATGTCTTCAGAAGTTTTGTATCATCGTTGACCAGCTCGTATTACTTTTATTGCTCAGGTGCCTACAGTGACAGTGCAGGCGTCGAAATTATTCGGAAACATGTTGCCGAGTATATAAGCCAACGAGATGGTGTGAATGCAAAATATGAGGATGTGCTCCTATCAACTGGTGCCAGCGAGTCTGTTCGGGTCTGTACACTTCTTCATTTAATTAATTTATTTATGTTGAAGTTATAAAATGATGTTTTTGTTATTGCATGCCTGATTAAATTCCTGCTCTCATGAAGTGAGCAGTTTGTAATTGAGAGTTTGTTTCTTTCTAGTCTGTGCTGAATTTGCTTAATGTACATAAAGATGGAAAGCCATCTGGAGTGATGATTCCAATCCCCCAGTATCCTCTTTACTCAGCAACCCTTGCGGAGTATGGTGTACATCAGGTATTGTATTCTCATTTCTTTTCTGTTCAAGCAGCAAAACATGAAATGATGTAATGTTGATACAAAATGCATAGCATTTGTGATCCTCAAAAATCTCCATGAAAATCTCTATAATTACTCACTTTGTGCTTATAAGGTGACATAATTTTGATGTCAAATGCTTCTTTTGCATAGTTTTAACAGGTGGCTGTATTTTTGTAGGTTTGAGTGCACACTTACATTGAGCTGCTTGCCTACTTATGTGATGCCATGCCTAGGGATGTGAGGACTAAAAGAAAAAAAGCACAAAAACCTTATAACATAGGGGGGGGGGGGGGGGTGTGTTTAAATTTACAGCATAAATCATAGTGAATTAATGTAAGCCGTGCCACATTTTGGTTGATGTCACTTAACAGGTGTAAACACGCCGATGACATTTAATTGCTGGTGGTGCGTTAAACCTCCATCACTTGATACACATGTAAAGAGGAAGAAATGTACCCTTTTCTTGGATGTCCCATTTCCTATTATCAGACATTTAGCCAACATTTTACGAAAAAAAAAAAAAGAGCGGGGGGGGGGGGGGGGGGGGGCATTCTTGAAAACATTCTCATTGGTTACTATTGATAAAAAATTGGTTTTGAAACTCATGTCAGATGTTTGACAAGCTCATCAGTGGATGTCCTAATTGGTTTGCAGGCCTTGCAATGTACTGTATGTGGCATGTTTTTGTTGGTTTCTGCTTATCTGCATTTTAAAATTCTAAAGCCATCTTCCTCAGAACTTCTGGCTTCACAAATAGATCTTTTTTATGTTGTAATTTGTAGGAGAGCTGGAAATACAAGTATTGAATTTTGTTTGGGCATGAAGCTTACTGCACTATCTTGTCAGTGTGTCTTGCATTTCTTTTTGGCATTTGCATAAATCTACTGCTAATTGATGATCACTAAAAAAAAAATGCATTCAGTGTACATTGAACTTGAAATAGAGAAAAGCTGTTTTTGAAAATGTTTGCCAAAATGACCCGTATAAAAGCAAGAGTTGAAATTGGAGATGTCAAGTTTTTCAATCAAATTTTTCAGAAAGAAATATCAAGCCTTTGTTTTATTAATGGCAGACTTTTCCTGATAAGAGGAAAGAGCAGCTTTGAAAGATTCTCTTCTTATTTAATGTTCAGCATGCTACTGAAGACATATCTGTAGCTGTGAATGCTCCTTTCTCATGTTTCCATTGGCCCAAATGCGCCCACATGTTTAGCTTATGGTCTTTTTTTTTTTTTTTTCATTTTTAGTTCGCTGCATTAGCCTCCACCACCAAGATACCAAACTTCCACAAGCGTATAGACTAGGCATGTGTGAATAATTGAGCACTTCAAATGCTCAAACGAATATTGCTGTATTCAATTCCATTTTGACATGAATTGAAATTGTTCGAAATTTCGAAGTATCCGAAATAAATGAATTGGCAGACACCACAGCGTATGTTACCCTCTTATAAAGGTGGTTTTACTGTCATTAGAAATGCTATGCCATGAAAACGCCTACCTAGAAAAAAGTCTGCACTGCTGTGAAGCCTCACTTCAAAGTTAATTTATTTATTTATTGTACGCTCGGGGCCCGAAGGCATTACAGAGGGGAGTGGGGATACATAAAGAATACTGTAAACAGCAAAACATAAAGGAAAAAAAAAAATAAAGAGTAACTTGCAAAAACTCGCAGCAAGACCAAGAGTGAAAAATAGCAGTGGGAATCTATTTTCTTTATTTTAACAGCAGCAGGTTTTCTAATAGCAGCGGGTTTTTTTATTTCTTGTGTCTCTGTTTTATATCGTTCATCTGCTATAGTAGAATGCAGACTTGAATCGTCAGATTGGAAGTATCAGCAGTAACAGTTATTCTGTGGCACTGCTAAAACAGTGCGCTCATCGTAGAACACAACTGGCATGGCAGAGTTCACAAGTGCCAGCTCGTAATCATACCCTATTATTTCACACAACAAAACTCGTAATAATTTGTTAATAAGGTGTGCTGAGTGAATATGTAATTATTTCCAGCAGTTGCTTATATATTGAGATTCTATTTTTCACCTACATGGTTGAAGAGTTTTGTTCACCTCCATGAATGAAGAGTTTCTTTTTTCCAGATCAGCTTGAGCAAAGTTTTTGGGTTCAGTACCACCTACAATTTGTTTAATGCAGCTTTACACTTCAGTTTGGCTTGATATGCTGGTTTGAATTGAGATTTTATTGATGTCTGCAGATAAATTATTATTTGGATGAAGAAAACGACTGGGCGTTGAGCATCAAAGAACTTGAAAGATCTCTCAATGAAGCTAAAAAAGTTTGCAATCCTCGTGGTCTGGTTGTAATTAATCCTGGAAACCCTACTGGTGAGTGGTAGCAAAGTTTTGCTGAGTACAGAGTATAGTGCAGGCAGCAGATTCATTGTTGGAACTTTAATTTAGCACATAACACAGTTATGACCATTTGCTATTTGACTGTTTGGTTTGTACTCGTTATGTTTTTTTTTTGTCCTGCTGTTACTCTAGAGCATGTCTTGTTGCTTTGCTCCAAAGTTATGTTACAACTTCACCAAATTACCTTAAATATCAGACACTGGCATATGATACATGACTCTTGATTGTGATCACCTTTAGTTTCATCCAATAGATATTATCAGCAAATTTTGCCAGTGCCTTAGAGGTCAACAAAATAGAAGTTGACTATATATAGAATAACCTCTATTGTAATGCCTCCAACTTGTTTGTACTGTCTTAGATCTTTAAACTTTATGGCTATGAATGTCATTGGGTTCTTTTACCTCCCTTATTTATTACCATATAATAAAATGTAGTTTTCTTTTTGAGAGGATCTCTGGCATTATTTTATAAAGATACAATTTTTTAATGTGCTGAAATATAGAGCCAGAAAAAAGTAGCGGTACATCACTGTAGACGTTTTTGTTATAATATGAAGAGTAGACAATAAAGGTTTTTATGCTACGCATCAAAGGAGTGTACAGTGAACCACCCCAACTTTCCCAGCTACTAGGCATTTAGAACATTACATTCCTTTGCTATGGCTTGTTTTCTTCTGCAGGGGCAGTCCTGACAGAGCAGAATATCAAAGAAGTTGTTGAGTTTGCTTATAAGCACAAGCTTTTCCTTATGGCTGATGAGGTAATTAGTTACTTAATTTACTATGGTTTATTATTTTGTTGAAATCGCTCTTGAATTCTGTTGATGCTTGCAGGTGTATCAGCACAATATCTATGCTGAGGGAGCTGCATTCCACAGTTTTCGCAAGATAATGCACAACATGGGTCCCCCTTACTCCGACATGGAACTTGCTTCATTTATGTCTGCTTCAAAAGGCTACATGGGAGAGTGAGTTTGTACTTGAGAGCATTGAAAGAAAATTGCAAGTTTTTTTACAGTGTGCTCCTGGTGATATAGTTGTTGCATGATTCCTGCTGACTAAGATGCAATTTTCCAGATGCATGAATGCAATGAACCCTAACTCTTATAGGTCATTTCATGCCTAATCAAACATCACTTTTTTTACCATCAAATATATGCCAGAAAAAAATTCTATATTGTTTGTGAAATTCTAAACTCATTTTTTTTCTTTTATGTTGCCAAAAATTTTCTAGCCTATTTGTGCAAGTTAGTTTTGTGTGAACTGAGCTAGAGGGTGTCGCATTTTTTTTCAAGGGACGTTTGTGGGATGTACTCGATAAAATGTTTGAGGCAAGCTAATAAAAGACATGCAACTGCAAAAATGACGTTCACTTATTCAAATTCTTCGAGGGCTTTTCACATGAGCAAAATTGAACGGAGGAACAGAATTTAATTTCTTTTTCCAGAACATGGCGAATTCAAAGGTCACAAATAAAATATGTGATAGTGGCCTCATTAACATGCTACAAAAGAAAGGTAATTCGAGTGTGAAGGTAGAATAGATTCTCTGAAAAAAATGCAGGTTTCACTTTGTTTTTTAAATGTTGAATATACATTATTTAAAAACTCTCCTTGGTGGTCGTGCTAAAAATATGCATGATACCACATTAGAAATAAAAAGCTCTACATATTAGCTGGTCATATACAAAGTTACTCAAGAGGGTATTGTTTTTTAAACTCTATTATTTTGAAATTTTGTATCTCCACGAGCTTTTCGCTGACGTAACTTAAGCGTCATGAAGCATTTGCCATGGCAATCTTCAGCCCAAGCCCACTGACCTGGGATGCAGATCGCAAACCTGCCGCCGTCTGCATCCGATCGACTATACCTTCAGTGCTTAGATTATTTTTATATTGTAGCATATCGAACACACCACCATTACGTGTTTTATTTGTGCCCTTTCAATTTGCTATGTTCCTGGGAAACAGTATCGAATTTTGCAACTTTACTCAATTTTGCTCATGCCAAAAGCCCTTGAATAATTTGAAGAATTGATATACATAAGGAGGTCATTATTTTTAGTTATATCACTTTCGTTTGCTACAAACAGCATTTTATCAAATACATAACATGAACATTAATTGAAAAAATTGTTTGATGCCCTCTAGCTCAGTTGGTGCAAAGGTACAAACTCCCGCAAATAAACAGGAAACTTTTTTCGCAATAGAAATAAATAAGCAGAACGAGTTTTGCCCGTCAAGAAAAATGTGGAAATTTTTTCAGCCGTATTTGTGATCACTGAAAAATGCTGTTTAATTTTGCATAAAATGATCCTTATAGGGTCCCTGCAACGCCTTTTGAGCATATTCAGAAAACGCTGCCGATTGGTAGTAGAGGCTCCCGACCACGCGAGCCAAATATTATAGCGCAGCATGCGGCTTGGAACTCACTATAAATTATCGAAGTCAGCTAAAGATTGCTTCCTCTTCTTTCGACATTCTCTTCTTTTGCCGAAAAATCTCTCGTAAAAAGCCCATCTATCAGGCATTGACTGATTTGAACATGGCGCTCACGGTCGTTGCAGAGATCGCCGTGGGAGGCCGTGACTTGTCCACGCATGCACGCACAATCACACTGAAAAAGCCGTGCATTCGAAGAAAAAAAAATGAAAAAAAGTGCTTAAGGTCACGAGGCGTGGGTGACGTATTTTCTTTGACCTTGCCATCCCTCCCTGCTTAACTTCCAGTGCTGAGACGACAAAAGAGAGACTGCAATTGCAGCATGTGACAAATCTTTGCAGCTCCATTCGCACTGGACGGGTTCTTAAAATTTTTGCAGCGTAGAGTTTGTGAGGCAATAAGGTCTTCCAGTAAATTCATTCCATGGTTACTTGAAAAAGTGTTTCAGGGCCCCTTTATACAACATTTGCTTTAGTATAAGGCCCCCTATTCAGCTGTTAAAGCCCTAGCATGCCCTTAAAAGCTGAATAAATGCACTTACAGACCTTTAAACGAAGAAGAGGATCCCCTCCTTTCTGGGTTGTTGCACAGGAGCACAAAAGCAGACATCACAGCGTCAGCCGTGCCTTTTTGGGGGGATCACACTTGTTAACAACCTAGAGAGGACTGTAGTGGTGCCCAGGGAGCCTTCAATGAAAAGGTCCATACTACAACAAAGGTGGAGTGGAGGTCACTGAAATGCTCTGCGGTGTGCGGGTAAAGAGTTCTGAAGGCCTGCATTTGCACCTTTGGGGGAGACGATTTGCAAGCTTGTGTCACCAGGTGGCGCTCAGTTCACTCTTTTTCTGGGGTTATGACCGTCAATAAATATGTTGCACTGCTTGTCGTCACCGCCGCACATGCACAGACCTGGGAAAGGTCCATTTGACCACTAATTTTTGTGTTTGGTGAACAGTGCTCTTGTCTTTTTTTTTTTCTTAAACTCTATACAAGCACGAATCTCTCTTTCGCTTGGCTTTACCAAGTAGTGCTGCAGCGGATGCCACATAGTTTTGTACTGTACAGTAAATGAACAGGTGGAAACTGCAGTTTGCTTGGGTACAGTACAAGACTTGGTGCTCTACACCAGCTTGTCAGAAATGTGAAAGATTTTTGTTTCGTTTGTATGTTTTATTTGGGTAAGTTTATTTGGCTGTAACAAAAATGCTGTTGTGTCGATTGCCTGCAGGTGTGGATTGCGTGGTGGATATGTAGAGGTGATAAATCTTGATCCAGCTGTAAAGCGTGTCCTGTTGAAGTCCGTTTCTGCCAAATTGTGTTCCTCTGTTTTGGGCCAGGTAAGTAGAGAAGTCCTTTAAGCTGCAATCAAAATGATAGCTAAATTTCTTGCTGTGATGGTAGTGGAGCTGTAAAACACAACTAGGGCTTTTGGTAATTGATTATGCAACACATAGGAGGGATACATGCATAATAAAAGAATAGTAGCCACATTGGCCTTGTGGCTACAGTGCTTGGCTGCTGACCCAAAATACCAGGTTTGATATCGGCCCTAGTAGTTGCGTGTATATAGAGGCACAATGCTAGAGGTGCCTGTGTACGGTGCTATTTCAGTGCACATTAAAGATCCTCAGGTGGTTGAAATTACTCCCGAGTCCTCTACTACAGAGTCTGCCGTAGCCCAGTTTGCTTTGAGTTGTTAAAACCCACAAATTAAACCAAGCCACAGTGCAAGAAACAGTTAAGATGTCCTGGAAAGCTTTGGTTGGGCAAAAAAAAAAAAACAGACACAAATGATGTGTTACATTATTATATTTCAAAACATAACTGCAGTTTGCAATTGAAATGAGTTATAATTTGCATTAAAATAATGCAAACTGGAAACCAACCGTGACCATGACTTTGTGACCTGGTATACCTGTGAATAAGGTCACTTGCGTGGTTCATAGAGAATCTTACCTATTGTAACAGAAAAAAAAAAATGTTTTTTTTTAAACTTAGGATATGGCTGGCCAAACCAGCCTGAAGCAAATGCAGCAAAAGCTCATTAATTCAAACTCAGTTAAATTTGAATTTACGGATAATTTGAAGTGATGTCGTGGTCGCGGCACAGCTCTATGTATTTCCATGGGGGAAAACTCTCAATAATTTGAACGAGTCGGTATCTAGAATGATTAGTTTGAACTGGGAGCCCCCTGGTTTTCGTCCCTCCTCGCAGAAATTGGCCGAGAATGATCACCCAAATTACTCGTTACTTTCATCTGTGCAAAAGAAGTGTAGTGATAAATTTCTATGTATGCTTTTATGGTTGTAAATGTAGTCTGTCTGCTGCTACTGCTGTATGGGCGGCACAATCCAGTCGGGCAATGTTTGCCTTTAGCTGTATTCCCTTGGACAATTCCAATATTGTTCTAAATAAACTAAGAAAGAGAGACTTCAAATTTTGATTGTGTTAACTCTGCAGTGTAAATGAGTGTGTTGGAGCATAAATAGCTTCGTATATTTTGGCATTAAAGGACCCCTGACACCAAATTCGGAAACGCGAGATGCTTGTGTTGTTTGATAGTCCTGCATGCGGGGCCACCTCTGACCGATTATTAGTGGCGAGCGTAGCCTATAAGGTATTTCAATGTAAGGGTGCATGCTCTTCCGAGTATTGAGGTGCAATCGGCATTTTCTGTGGTTTGACGTAGACCGAGACTCCCCTTGTGACGTTGCAGGGTCAACGCGAGGACTATTGTTTGTCACCCCTCTCGCTCAGTTGCGGGGCTGCTCTCAAGGTGGTTTTGGCTGCCTACACCAGAAATTCTTTTCTTTTTTTTTTCTGAGGGGGACACGCTCAAAGCACCCACATTGTTTCATTGTTCACCTCACGCGGGTCCCCCTACTGAAAACAGTCTCAGGTGCAGCTCCGCTGTGGGGCACTAGTTTCTTACGGTATTTTAGGCAGGCGTTTCAAACTGACACCAAATAGTTCTAAATTAATGCCGTTAACATTAATTATACGATGCAGTAAAGCATTTACGATATAAAATCGGCATTACCAGATGCAAAGCTACAAATTTCTGTAAAAATCTCGCAAACAGAACTTTCACTGTCAGGGGTCTTCTAAGGCCCACTGCTCATATGAATTCAAGTGCCTGCTTGTTTCTGGTGTGTCACTGACTGAAGGATAAATTCTCTTCGCTGTTAAGCATGAACTTAATTTACAAAGTTACCTGCCACAAACGTGTAGTATTGCCTAATTTGCGGGAACGAGTCCAGAGGTGTCTTTTCTGGATTCTCGCCGCACAGTGTGGCGCAATGCCTGTTCATTCTAGCGCCTGCCTGCCAATTCGACCTCTGCTTAATTAGAACAATTTCATAGTCCTCTTAGAGTTCGAATTAAGGGGACAGGGTAAACAAAAATATTGAAAAAAAAAATCTTTTTTTTTTTTTTTGTGCTATTTGAAATACGCAGCCTTTTCTGAACCAGAATCTGTCATTTGTTTGCCTTAATACGTTTTTTTTTTTCTAAAAGTGGCATATTTGAAAACTTGTGCAGTGGTCTGCCATGCCCCCAATATATAGCAGTAAATGCTATATAATGCTATATATATAGCAGCAAAAGCTATATAACAGCATATAGCATTTGCTGTATTGTGCGCTGCAAATGTAGTGGTATGTAGCATGTCAAGCTGCCACATTGTGTGCTTCTGAAAGAATACCAAGAAGTGAAGACTTGTGTGAAAGCATATTGTGGATATGCGTAAAGCTGTGACTTCGTTTCATGAGGGCTGTTGTAGAATTGTTTTTCTTTTTGTTGTTATTGTTAACTATTGTGGATATTAAACATGTGCTGGTTTAGTGACATGATTCATGTTTGCAGTGTGCCATGGACTGTGTTGTCAACCCTCCAAAGCCTGGTGAACCATCATATGACTTGTTCATCAAGGTGACTCCTTTGTTTTCATGATTGCCATATGCATTAATGTTATGCTAAAATTGACTCACTTCACATTTCAGGAGAAAACGGCAGTCCTGGACTCTCTGAAGAAAAGAGCACAGCTTGTTGCTGACACATTCAATTCATTTGAAGGGTTTCGCTGCAACAGGGTAGCTGGAGCCATGTATGCATTTCCAAAGTTCACACTACCCCAAAAAGCCATTGAGGAGGCAAAGGTGCTAATTCTTACCTGTTAAGAGTTGATGGAAAGAAGGGGTTGAGGAAGGGGTCATAAATTAAAATATCTCAATCAGTGCCTGACATTATACATGCAGTTCCTATGTTTTGCTCTGTTGACAGGCGGCTGGCCAGGCACCAGACTTCTTTTATGTAATGCAGCTGCTTGAGAACACTGGTGTGTGCGTTGTCCCTGGAAGTGGCTTCGGACAGGTGCCCGGCACATACCATTTTAGGTTTGTGTGACCCCGATCTTTTTACCAGCTCATTGCTATACTACTCAACTGCAAGTTGTATTGGTGTTTGAACTGGCAGCATTTATGATGCAAGACTTGTGAATGTTTTCAGGACTACTATATTGCCTCCGTTGGAGAAGCTCCAGGCAATGCTTTCACATTTCAAGGACTTTCACCACAAGTTTATGAACAAGTACAAATGAGTGCTGCATTCACAAGTGAGATGTTTCCATAGTCCTTGCACTGTATTCATTGGGGCTGCCGAAAATTACCTATACCACGTGCTTTCGCTCAGACTGTTAGACTAGCTTGAACACCATGCGTCATGATCAGTGTTTAGATGTCTGACCGTCAATGGATGATAGTGGTATGTGTCAGTAGTTTGTATGTGGATAGGACATTGTTAATTTTTATTTTTGTCATCAGTTTTAAGTGCTGTTATGGTAGATATAAGTTGCTGAGCATTTTTATTTTTACTGCTTTTCAGATGCTCCTTTTGTTGTTATGCTATAAATATTATGACACAATGTATTATGTTCATGCATGGTTGACATCAATATCATTGCTGCCTATTTTGTGCCTAGAGAGTAGTAACTTGCAGGTTTGCCTTGACAGCTATTAACATTCTTGGACAGTGCAGCGATATATTGCATTGGTTCCTGTTGGAAATAGTGCTATACTTAAGTTCCCCTTGATGGGAACCTTGTAAACCGGTCTAGTTTTGAACTTTTTTATTATTGTGAAAGTGTTTGCGATATGTTGTCTGTGTAAGTTAGCACTGTGATGACTTCAACGCTGATTTTGAGTAGCAATAAACATGCAACTCCTAATTAAAGCATGTTTACCACAGAAATCCTCCGAATAACACTGGATTTTGAAGTAACAGAATTTGAGTTCATGAGGTTTTACTGTATAGCACCAGCCACTGCTGCCAACCAGGCTTTGGACAAGCCAGATAATTAGCAGGGTCCTGCTATGCTCACAAGATGTCAGACACTTGAATGTTTATTTCGAAAGGGTTGTGTTGAATGAACAATAATGCAAAATATCCTTGTGATCACCTTTTACTGCAGTGTCACCTGTCGTGTGTGTGGTAATTGTGCCATACTTGCTTTCTTATTTTGTGCATTCATTTGCAATAACATCAAAAAGAACACACACAGATGATTCATAGTTATGAACGGCGCAAGAAAACACACGGGACACAGATGAAGAAAAACGACACACAGACACGAGTGCCGGGCTTGTTTGTGTGGTTTTTCTTCATCTGTCTCTCGTGTGTTTTTTTGTGCCGCTCATAACTACGAACCAACACTAACATGCCTATCTGTCAGTGCTAATGAACACAGAGATGATCTTATCATGCACGTTAAAATGCTCACTCAATAACGCAATGGTGCACAAAAATTTAGTGTTGCACTCCAAGTCTGCCTCTACAGTTGCTGCTCAGCAATGTTGGCTGTTACAGCAAAGAAGCCAGGGCCTTCACTTAAATAAGCTCCTGCTGCATCTTGGGAAACAGCAGTGGTACCTGACTGGCCAAGGCTGCCTCACTCAGGAGCGTAATAAATTCAATAAAATGTGCAGTGTGGTAACCTCAGCATTGTTGAGTTTTTGTGAAACAAGATGAACTATCGGTGCATATTATACCTGTACTTCGTTGCATTTATATGTGCTCAAAGCAGGTGTGGAAGCATGTCGGCAAACACTAAGTTCAGTTCCTTTCTGTGTTTGAGAAACACTTTTTCTTTTCTGTGTAGCTTTGATTAAAAACATGGTGAAGCGAGTTTTTTTTTTTTTTTTGCCAGCTGTCATGTGCCTTTAGCCACTTTCACGTTTTTTCAATTATTGTATGTGGGATGTTTGTCTTGTATGTTGTAATCTCTGGTTAATAATTATGAGCAATATTGGTATCTGTGTATAAAGTGTACGTTTAAGCATATGGACTGTATTGTTAGCTTTACTGCATGTACAATAAAGGTATCATGTGAAATCTGTGTGGTCAGTATTATCAATATTATATTTAAAATAATGGTAAACTAATGGTAAAAATAATGGTAAACACAGGTAAACTAAATACAAACCCAAATATAATTATACTCTTGGAATTCCCATGTAGAAGTATAGTACTGCATTGTGCACGTATTGAAAAGGTTCACAAATATATGGACTCTGCTACATTACAGCACTGGAAGTGCACTTCCCTAACCATAGTTTCATTGCTGCTAACAAGTGAAGAAAACTGCAGGAAAATTGCCTACCATGACGGTAAAGTTAAAGGCGTTTGATTCAAAGTATAAATGGGTATTGCAGCAAGTGTCCTTTGCTTACAATGCAAACGAATTTGCTTTTAAGCAAAGTTCACTGCAGTGCAGCTGCGTTATGTTCTCATACAAGGGCTTCTAGCGGCAATGCAACTTAGTTTTACAGCACATTATTATGGTGGTTAAAGGTAGAATAAAAAAAAAGATTTCATGAATTATGGGTGGTACAGGCTGGCTACATTTTACCTTTCATGCATTTACAAAAGCAGCCAAGAGCTTGCCATACCTGAAGTACTCTGCAAGTTTTTGTCAGTCAGTCAGCCAATTCACAAATTGTCCTGAGGAGCCGATGCTTCTCAAGAGGGCGGATCGGCTGCGAGTCGCACCCATGTTGGTACAGGAAGGATATGCCCCTCCCCAAAACTGCGGGCCCTCCGGACAGCCCAGATTTAGACCTCCCGGTTCGAGCTGGTAATTGCAGTCTTCCAGGCATCTTCTGCCGAGAGGCTCGCCATCGCGCAGCGCCGTGCATTGCCAGAGCATGTGGGATAAAGTGCATCGCAATGAGGATAGTGAGGCTTTATGCTGTCAATAAACTTGCTGTAAACTAAGGGCGATGGGCAAGTACTGGTTTACAGCATTCGTAAAGTGATTGACTGAGCCCCCGAGTGTTGTGGGCACAGGAAGCTACACCTGGACAATTGATAGTGCTTACATATTTCGTTAAAGGTGAGGAGGGAATCAAGCTGCCAAATGCCTTCCCCCAAATTAGAGGCCGAATGCCCGTCACGGTGTAACAGTGCGTGAGCATGGGCAGACTCATTGGCATAAGGGATAAGAGGGTGGACATCCTTGCACGTGTGGGCAGGAAACCAGGTGATGTGACCATTTATTGCATTACAATTGGGAATTTTGGTAAGAATATGGGCTGCCTGCTCACAAACTGACCCCGTCATGAATGCTTGTGAAGCATATATTGGTATACGCCAACAATAAACAGATTAAATTTAAGTTTACTCACTGCGAATTAGCATTCTTGAGGTGGTGCTTTGCAGTTGACATAAACTTGTCGTGTTGCTTACATGGAGACCGTAAATGTGGAGGAAGGGGCTGGATGTACCTACAGCTCGGACCTACAGGTACTGCAACATTGATGGACTGGACGATTTATCTTGGTGAGCATACAGTTGTGCTGCCGCCTTGATTGAAAAATAAATTAATTGCTAATCAAAAAGAAAATGGGGTTCAACTAACCTACAGTGATAAAGGAAGGTTTCGAGAACTAGAAAAAAAACTTTTCTATTTACAGCATCAATTTTATATGTAGCTAGTGTCTACCATTGCTAAAATAATAGTAAAATATGCAATCTTACAGAAAACTGGAATTTACAAGTTTGCTTTTGTAATGAGTTTTTTTTTATGCCACTATGAAGGCATAAAGTTCAGTTCTACATTTTTCATCCATGCCTTTTTTGAACATGCTTATTGAACTGCAAGTCCTGCCAGTTTTTTAAGCAGCAACGTGCAGGCCAACTTCCCAATAAGTACGCTTCACTGAGCGGCAGTTACACCCCCGTCACACGTGGCAACTTAAGTGCACTTTGAGCTAGTGTACTTACGCTCACAAAGTGTCATTTCAGCGGTTCGCTGCTACACGAGAAAGCGAAGTATATTTTGGAAGTGATGACAGTGACAATTGTTGGGTTTGTAGCGCAATATGTATTTGTTACTTTTGCGCCCGTGTGTCATGATCGGACCACGTTGTCTTTGTGAAAGTAGCACGAGTGGCACATGTCATCGTAAACGACTAGAGAACGACTCGCCTACACATGTGCAAGCGTACCTGGAAGTAAACAACGTGACGGACGTGGCCATTGCACAGCGTGTGCGCCGCATCCCCGTAGTGGACGTGGCCGCAAACTGCTCGAAGGTGAGATTAGCGAGAATTTTTGTTGATTTATGGCTTGTTTTAGTACATAGCAAAATCATTATAACAAATACAATAGTTTAACAATAGTATGAGCGCTTCTTTAGACAACAGCGTGTTTTTGTGCAAGCCACTGGTACCGAGGCTACACACTTGGTCACAACGAAGTGAGGCTGGGAAGCGCACTTGCCGGCAAGTGTACTTTGCAGCGAGTGACACTAAACTTGCTCGTGTGACAGCGCGCAAATTGCTCTCGCGGCTAAGTGTACTTGGTCAAAGTGCACTTAAGTTGCTACGTGTGATAGGGGTATTAGCTCTTCCTGCTGTTAAAGGGACACTAAAGTCAAACAACCATTTACGTCAGAGTGAAAACTAAATGTATTACATCTAAAATGACAATATTATCAACAATAGTGCCCTAGTTACCGAGAAATTAAAGTATATGCACAAGACCACAAGCGCCGCAGTAGACCATTTTCAAAGTGATCCTAATGACATCAGACAGACCACCTACAATTAATCACTAGTAATCGATCTAGCTGCACTAAATAAAGAACGGTTTGTGCATTAAGAGACGCCATAAGATACTGCTTGTTTGTTTCTCTTTGATTCATGGAAAAAAAAGAATCGCCGCACGTAACTATGGGGAATGGCACAAGTGGTCAAAAAATTCAATTTTCCCGTGTTTACATGGGACAGATGGTGCCATCTAGTGGGGCGCAGTTGAAACAAAAGCGTCTTCAATCTCGAAGCCAATGGCAGTAAATTGATTAATGGCCGTTGTTGCTGCTGTGGCTCCCGCTGCTTTCAGTCTGCTGCTACTAGCGCAGTAAAGCCGGACAACGTTGTGCATGGCAACAGTGACGTGAGACTGTCTGGTTAGTCCGCTTCTTGTGGCGGGTAATTTGAAGTGCGCTAACTCGATGCGGAGCACTAAAACGTAATTTTATTTCAAAATAGGCCCTTCCTTGGCACCAAAGTAACACCACGAGGTTTGTGGACCGCCATTTCAACAATCAACGTAGACGTAGTAGTTGACTTTAGTGTCCCTTTAACATATTCGCCCCCCTTGCTCAAAAGGCAATTCAACATCGTGAAGTGCAAATAAAATCTCTACTGCACTCAAAAGTGGTTTTAAAAATAAGAAAACATTCAAGAAGATACCACGCTTTGCAATAACTTGAAATGAGTTGTGCGATACTCGCTTAATGACATAAATATGCACTGCGCTGTTCCGGTTACTTATGGGTACCCCCTTGTACATTATGCAAGCGACCAGGCATAAAAAACTAAGAAAACTCAACATTTGTCTGGATGTCACTTGTCTCTCGTTCACACAATTTTTGTAGTAATTCTGCTGCTAGGCTAACTGTAGCATGCGAATGAAAGCTTTTTTACAGGACAATAGTTTTTATCACTATTGCAGTCCCAATGTGCATTTTAAAAATGTTTTTATATGTGGGGTTTAACATCTCAAAAACAATGTATGATTATGAGAAACGCAGTAGAGGAGGGCTACAAAAATTTCGAGCAGCTGGGGTTCTTTAACGTGCACCCAAACCTGAGCACACGGGTTTACAGCATTTTTGCCTCCATTGAGAATGCAGCCGCTGCAGCCGGGATTCGATCCCACGACCTGCGGGTCAGCAGCCGAGTACCTTAACCACTAGACCACTGCGGCATGGAGCATTAAAAAAAAAAGAGAAAACATGAAGCAGTGTGTTAACAGCTTTAGATGTTTATTCCTGTCCAATCTGTGAACATTTAATTAATGAAATGCAAATCATTTCAAAACTTCTTAAAGTTAAAAGTGGAGGCATCATTAGTCATCACAGCCGTTCTGCATTCCTCTCCTTTGTGCCTTGTATTTGAGAAACCGGATCAAATTTGTTTTGGCTGTGACAATCACTGAGTAGTGACTTGGCAATGTAGTCTTTGCTTGTTGAACCTAAAAATAAAACAAATAGGAACTTGCATTCATAATTCAGCAGTTTTATTACACAACATACAAGATGCCATGACAGCTGTAATGTTGCACACAGCTACACCTTTATAGTTAGTACATATTCTCACATAGCTGAAGCCAGAAATCTTGCTGGATATAGACAATTTTACATAACACCCATCGGTGCCACCACCTTGGGCTGTTAAAAGAGTATTTTCTTGTTTCTGTACATTGTGACATGAATTTATATAATAAGATAATGAAACATTGAATGAACCAACCCAACTGTCTTGATGTGTACGTGTCTACTGCAGTGCTGCTCATTTAGTTGTTGAAGAAGCAAAACAAAAAAATAATAGCCTAACACGGCGGCACTAAAATCGATTTATAAAGTCACTTATACATCTCGTTGTCACAGACTAACACTTCATGGTTTTATTGAGATTTAACACTAGGAGGTACGATGACACCACCTCTTCAAGTAAATTATGTGTCTGGTAAGACACACAGAGTATGATGATAATTACCACAGTCAGCTGCCTAATTAACTAATATTCAGTAATAAACTTGCTCGTGACTGTAGTAGGGGGGCATGTTTGTAACGAATCATTATAAGCAGTCATGTTTCTATCAAGTTTCACCTGGCAGAATTCTAGCATATATGTACTGAAAGATATCTTGCAGAAAATTTTACCTGCAGTTTGCTTGGTACACGTAAAAGACAGTGAGGACTAGCACAAAGCTGACAACAGTAAAGATGACAACAGTTACCCGTCTACCATCGGCTGGCGATATCAAGGGGCGACTATGCAACAGCTAAGCTCCAAGAAATTTCAAATGAAGCCTTCTACTGCTGCTTCTAACAATGGCAAGAAGCGACTGATCAAGCGTGTGTGTTCGCAAGGGTCTTACTGCAAACATGATTAATTGAGCACAGCCATAGGTCATAACACTAGTAAGCTGAACCACCATTCCAGGAATGTTTTGACTGCCCCATCATATATCATTAATTAAAGGCAGAATATTGGATTTCATATGGTAGCACTAAGTGACCTTTAATGTTTGTTTGTACAGAGTACAATGCCTCACTTGTGTTTGAGCTGCCAAGTGAAGTGTTAGATGGCGGATATGCATACATGCGCAACCCATTCTCTCTGAACATGAAACATCGCGCCTAGACAGGACAAAAAGTTACAACAAGCACACATAACTTTTTGTTCCATCTAGGCAAATGCGCTGTTTCACATTCAGTATGTACCAACTGGCTCACAAACAATCTGTGTTCCATTCTCTTTTTTGCATTGATTAAAAGGGCACTGCAGTATGTGCTTTTGACCACGGGAAGAATATATCTGCAACATGAAGACATCACTACAAAATATTATTTTATTGTATGTGACCCACAAAAAGTATATATACGAGGTGTTTCACGTAACTAAAACAAAGGATTAAAAAAAAATCGTAACTGAACAACATACGGTCTGTCATTGTGTGGTGCTTGTTAGGGTTTCTCTTTTGCACTTGATTTCTTAATTGACTAAGATCAATAGGACAAAATTTTCAATAGTTACTGCAGAGTTAGGTATGTTTTGCTAGGTTGTAGAGGTTAACTGATCCAATTTGACAATAATGCTGCATTGTGATTGTTTCTCGTTTAAAAAAGCCAGTGAAATATGAAACAAAAACTATGTCACTGCACTCAAGTGGATCACATGGTTCCTGGCAAATGGCAGTCCACACATCCTGTAATCACCCCTTTGCTGCACCCAGGAAACTCTTTGTCAGGCACCAACATTGAAGGGTTACCCTACTGACGAGCAAATAAAAAATAAGAAAGGAAAGTAGCAATGGGCAAATATTGCTACTGGCATGGCTACAACTAACTAAATTTATGAAAGTAAACTAATCACTCTGTATGAGTACCTTCATAAACTAGTAAATAATATTTTATCTTGCAGTGCTCTGCAGGCAACCATCGTTTCCCTTGTCTACTATGTCGAACCACAATTTACAGCCGGTTTGTCAACAGTTTTCAAGCAGAGACCATGAGCCACTAACCTTGCTTTTAAAGGCAGGTAGTACTTGCCGCAACTTGGCTACCAATTCAATCTCTCGGGCAACTGTATCAGTTGAATCTTCTCCAAATACATCGAAAATAGCATCCAATGCTTCTGTTACCACAACAGTGTCAGGGTCCTTGAAAGAAACTTCCAAAAGGTGCTGGCCTACTTTCTGCACATGCACATGAAATACATTCACAGTATGTAAAATATGTTGGCTATTGAAAATAAAGCACTACTCACATGCAACCACCGCAATATAAGCACTGCTCACATGCAACCACCCCTATTTATGCAATTGCCATTATCATCATCATCAGCCTGACTATGTCCACTGTAGGACAAAGGCCTCTCACACGTTCCGCCAGTCAGCTCGGTCCTGTGCTCACTGCAGCCAATTTATTCCCGCAAACTCCTTAATTTCATCTGCCCACCTAAGCTTCTGTCTCCCCCTAACCCGCTTGCCTTCTCTGGGAATCCAGTTGGTTACCCTTAATGACCAGTGGTTATCCTGTCTACGCGCTACGTGCCCGGCTCATGTCTATTTCCTCTTCTTGATTTCAACTATGATATCCTTAACCCCAGTTTGTTCCCTAATCCATTCTTCTCTCTTCTTGTTTCTTAAGGTTACACCAACCATTTTCCTTTCCACTGCTCACTGTGTCGTCCTCAATTTAAGCAGTACCCTCTTTGTAAGTCTCCAGGTTTCTGCTCCAAAGCTAAGTACCGGCAAGATGCAGCTGTTATATTTCTTCCTCTTTAGGGATAGTGGCAATCTAACGGTCATAATTTGAGAGTGCTTGCCAAATGTGCTCCACCCCATTCTTATTCTTCTAGTTACTTCAGTCTCGTGGTTCGACTCCGCGGTTATTACCTGTCCTAAGTAGACATAGTCTTTTACAACTTCACGTGCACTATTACCTATCTCGAAGCGCTGTTCTCTTCCGAGGTTGTTGTACATTACTTTTGTTTTCTGCAGATTAAACTTAAGACGTACTTTTCTACTCTCCTTGTCTAACTCTGTAATCATGAGTTGCAATTTGTCCCCTGAGTTACTCAGCAATGCAATGTCATCGGCGAAGCACAGGTTACTAAGGTACTCTCCATGAACTCTCATTTCTAACTGTTCCCATTTTAGGCCTCTGAAAAGCTCCTGTAAGCACACGGTAAATAATAGCATTGGGGAGATTGCATCCCCCTGCCTTACACCCTTCTTGATTGGTATTCAGTTGCTTTCTTTATGAAGCATTATGGCAGCAGTTGATCTCCTATAGATTTCTTCCATGTTGTTTATATATGCTTCGTCGATGCCCTGATTCTGCAGTGTCTGCATGACTGCTGATATTTCTACTGAATCAAACACCTTTTCATAATCTATGAAGGCTACGTATAGTGGTTGGCTATATTCTGAGCATTTCTCTATTACCTGATTGATAGTATGAACTACTGTAATATAGTTTAAACCAAAACTAAGGCGCTATAACAACAGCACAAGTTTCAGCTGAGAAATCCACTTATTATCCGCCTGCAAGGCAGAGAGTTTCACGCAACAAAAATTAGAGGGCATTCTGGCTCTGCTATCTTTCAACCACCACAAGAATGATGGAAAGTACAGGCTTTGGACTGGACTGTCTTAGCAAACTGTCCACAAATGTTATTTCTACAGATCTAGTTTCATGTGCAGAGCTGTATCCTACCATATTGTGTACAGTGTTCTCTGGCGTGGGTGCTGGAGTGTGGCACACACCACTCAAGCGGTGCCTTTTCAGTTGAAAGTGGCTGAAGCGCAACAGGTCTCTCTATTTGCAGTGACATTGCAGCTTTGCAGGTTGCATCAGACGGCTTTAGCAAAGTGCCGCTTGTACTTCGCTCCATGCAAATGTTTCATGCAGAGCCGAGGCAACGAACTGCCTAGATTTCATGTTTTTTGATAAGCCCCTTTTGCCAAGATAGTAAACTTGGCTGCAAAATGACAGCAAAGCCATGTGTCATGCTCTGCTGAATCGGCTATACAACAAAGTGAGAGATGCATTGTATATACTGTTGCTATCATGATCGTTCTGTGCACAAAAAAAATACAAGCCCAGGCATCGCAGCATATGACACTCTTAGTATTTGTTTCAACAACACTGCAGTTTCACTTAATACAGTATATTTTCATTGATAGATTAAGAGAACAGGGTAAGCCTTATGTCACCCGCCATGTATTTTAGGTGAAGTTTATGCACCTTTTTCTCTATATCCATAAAAACTACAGTAATTATTTTATTATCATTGTGATCATGAACCATTCCTCTTTTTTACTGAATCAGATTTAGCACTAAAAATTGTAATTCTAATTCGTGAAATAATTTTTTTGCTTTAAATACCTAATTATCACTCGATAATAGCTATTATATGTCGTGTTGCAGAAAAGCATTTTCTCACACAATAATAATTCTGCTTAAGCATATTCTCTATTACGTTACCTAAATACTGGCCAAAATATATAATTCTAGATACTGTGGTTACTGTGAAAAAGGAATACAAGTACAAAAAAAGCATGTTTTGAAATCACATCTAAAGTTAAAAATATACATTATTTCAAAAGTACAATGAGATAACAGTAAATTTACAGACCCGTTCAACAGGCACCAGCCAGATACTCATCACCAATACCATTTTTTCTTTTAGTGTTGAAACGCCTGGCGAACCTCATTTGTCGCCTGCTACGGAGCCGTGTAAGCACAGTACTGTTGACGCAGTTGAAGGGTGCTTAGGCCCTGCACTGCTCAGTGGCCTGGCGAAATTCCAAAATAGTTCAGCACATTCACACGGGCTATATTGCCATCATTAAAAGTGAGCAGAGCATCAAGAGTGCACATTTAGAGTATTTCGTGCCCGAGGAAAATGTTTTTTAGGAGCGTGATCCCACACTACAATCCGACGACTCACTAGGGTTTTAAATTTTCCCGTAGAGAAATTTAGCAAGTAATTCTGGATGAGCTAATTCAAGATAATTTAACTTAACAGCCTCATTAACAGATGCTGGAAGGTGTTCTTTATGAATTACTGGTTCACCATTCAACTGGGCTTTGTTGAATTTACACCAAGTTTCGGTGTCCTTTGAGTAAAAGTTGTGCGCTTGATTGGCATCCTTTGATGCTATGTGAAAATATGTGAACTGGACAGCTTTTCGCATGTCCTCCAAGCTGGCTCTATTTCTTTTAATGGCCCAATGATAATAGCATTAGTGCTTGCCAATGGCGACACCACTAAAACGTATCTGACCAGATATAGCTTTCCTGAAAGAAAGCTTGACGCCTCTACTTCCTTTCATTTTTGCAGTTCCGGGCCCATTCTTTTCTGAATGTGCCAAATGCACACCAGCTTGCAGACTAACTTCTCCATACGGCTATGATGCTTGAACTGCAAGAAATTCCTTGCTAAGTAAGAATGGGGGCATGGTAGGCTGCCGCACAAGTTTTGAAATATGTCATTTTTAGAGCAAAAAAAAAATCTTACTAAAACAAACAAATGATTGACTCTGGTTTAGAAAAGGCTGCAGATTTCAAATAATGCAAGAAGAAAAAAAATGTTTTTTTTTTTCAATATTTTTGCTTACTCTGTCCTTTCAAGTGTACTTTCAAGCAAAAAACATGTTTTTGCTGTTGTAAAAAAATCACAGCATATCCACGGAGTGAATGATGATGACTGGGGCGAAGCGTCTGACTGTCTGTCTGTCCGCCCGTCCATCTAATTAACACTCGAAGTACCGCCATCCCGCATCTTTTCATCATATATTCACCATGTACAAGTACCGCCATCCAGCGGACACTCTAAGGACTAAACAAGAGGTGGCTACTATGACGACAGGGGCACGACCAACAGCGTAAGAGGCTTTGCCCCTAAAAAGTAATTTATTACTCTGTAATGCCAAATCTAGAGCATAATTACAGAGCAATGCATACCCAAGTGATTGAATTTGTCCATGTTTCACATAAGTTTCATGGTCATGCAACCTTTATGCAATGTTTTACATAGGGATGAGGCAAATTATAATTTTTAATAACTTTGTCCCACTTTAAGCATAAATAAAGGAGTGCCATAAATCTGAAGAATGAAATCTATTCGAAGCCAGCATTTCATATCATTCCCACAGTGGTTGAGGTGCCGCTCACGGAGCCTGCAGAAATACTAGTGCCAGATAACCCCTCTAGTTTTTGTAAAATGAAATTATGTACACTGCAAGAAATCCTAGTGGAAACAATTAAAATTTGAAACTATATTAAGCTCGCAAGAGACAGACAAAAATGTAACTTTTATAAGGGAGACATTTTATTTAACTTCAATGGACAACTTTGTTGAGATTAGAACTCCGGAATGTTAAGTTGTGCACCAAAGAACTCTATAGCTGATATGTAAAGCCATACAAGCCATACAAGTGAATGATCAAAAGTTGAATTATGATGCGATCCGATCTTTTTCATGTTATTGCAACAAAGAATTATGACAAAATACAGTCGTAAGATTTCTCCAGCAGAACTAAAAATAATATTCAATATATGCACATGTAAAGACAGTTTACAGCTCAGCAATTGTCGAATATGTCGCATAAAGTTTAAGTAGTCAGAATGCTGCTTGTTTAATACAGTAGAACACTGTTCATATGTTCTTGGCAATAAAAAAAAAAGTGAAAAAAAAAGTACCACACAGATAACATACAATGCAGTTGCTTAAAAAGAAAAAAAAATATTGCACTTTCCCATATGAATATCAGAAATATTAAAATATTTACTATTGCATGATTTTACTAAGTTTTGGGCTTGTCGTTTTGTTGAGAGTGTAAACTGCAGTAAATATTGGTTTACACACTAAAGCATGTCGTCGTTCACCTGAAGACATCAAGAGTCCACTAGATTACCGCGAGTACTAGTTATGACAATAGTAGTTCTGGCATTTTATAAAACCACTCTGTCACCTATACAGTTGTGGAACAGCCATTTGTTCTCAGAAATTCTTCAGATAAGTGCACCACAGAGCAAAATGGTGGACTACTTGCAAAAGCAACAAACCTTGAGGACACGAGTCTCATGGGCACCCAACAGGCAACCTAATGCGGCCATGATGCGGGTCACATTAGTCCTTACAGATGGTTCAGAGCATTGCAGACCCACTTCAGCGAGTACTCCAAGTTCTTCATCAGACACACTAGGCAGAGGTGATGTGCCACCATTTCCAGCACTGGCAACAAATGAAACTAGAGTCTGCAGCACTGACCTGCAAGCACTGGTGCTTGCCTCCAAGAGTTCAAAGTCTTTAGAATCTAGAACAAAATCAATTCAAGAACATAGAAAAGAAAACTTAAGTGTTCATAACATGCTTAAGTTACAATGAGAAATTAATAGACTAAAAAAATTTAGGACTATTTGAATTGTGAATTTAATCAACTAGACAACTCAACAAGCTGAGGCTAATGGGCGTTACATCAGCAATGAAAGTAAAGAAGAGGTGTGCCAGTAACGCAGCTTTGGCCTTACAAAAAAAAAATGTGACAGCCAGTCTCAACCTTATTTGTTTTATTTCCCCCTACCCAATAAAGTCTGGCAACTCGTTTGCACATTCTTCTTTCATGCTTTCTGTTGCAATGATAAAAAATAAAGGTGGTATCATTTTTGTCATGGTTCTAGTCTGCTGAATGCTCTAACCTTTTTTTTTTTTGCACTCACAGCTGTGTTAGCTGTGTACTATACTGCTGTGTACTGCACTGAATTTCGGGAATCATATCATGATGCCACGGGACTGAAAAATGTGTGATTTTGTTGCACCGTTATTCTAGCGGTGCATGGTGCTAAAGGGTTTGTCCTCGCCAAATGCCTTCTTACCATGCCCACCTTTCAAACCTTGTTGATCTATGAGCTGGCAATAATACCTTCACTTGAAGCATCCTCTATATACTCCGTTTCAGTACTATAGTTTCGTGCAGCACAGTGGGAGCTACAGTCCTTATCGACCGATCAAAACGGCGAGCACATCTATATGTATCCTTCCGTGCCCTGTCTACAAGCGGTCAGCGCTGCCAGCGGTGAGCTTGCGCAGTGTCGAAAATTCCTTCCTTTAACGGAAATAGTGCACGACTCTGCAACACACCGAGGTTGAAGTCGTACAGCAGCTTTTCTTGATCGCGGTCCCTGTCACCGCGACACAGCATCCATCGGTGACAGCTACATCGGCAAGTCGCATCGTCTGTATGTGTTGTGGGATACTTCGAGCTGCCTGCTTCTTGCTCTGCAATTTTTTTAGACGACAGTCTTTCTTGGGGACCTTCGACTGAAAAATTTTGGTGTGTCTGTCCGCCTGTCTGTCTATTTGTCCGCCCTTAACGATACCTCAAACGGCCGACCCCATCCGCAGCACCCACCAATATTGCTCAAGATTTTGTGTTCATACTTGTGCGATTGTCAATTATAAAGCAATCATTGCGCGTATCTGAGGTACCATAACAACATGTCAATGTTTTGTATGTGTGCCTTCATACTAGAGAAGGCACGCACAAGTAATTCTAAGGACCGTAGCGTTAAACACGCTGCACTGACATTGCAACGCGATGCTCAAAAAGGCAAGTGTTACCAACGCTTTGCTAAAACGACACGATGGTGGCACCTGTCGGTCGCTTTGCGTTCTGCACCTTATCGCCACCGAGAATGGCACGCATCTTTCTCTGCAGGCGCGCACGCCTTCCTTCGTTTTCAGAGATGACTTCCAGATGGCGCTCGTGTCTAACGTGCCTCGATGCGCTCGTTCGCCTCCGCTGCACGTTCGAGGCACTCTAACGTAGTGCCTCCAGAATACCATTCACCGATTTTCTTGCGTAGAACATCAAATAAATGTTTTGTTCACACTCTCCGGACGCAAGACTATCGTCTTTCGATGACATTTGCAGTGTAACATGCAGATCCGGGGCCATTTTTTTTTTTTTTTTTTCACGCTATAAGCACTCTATAAATGTGGAAGTTGTCAGCATCATTGAAAGCCATGTTTCCAGCATTCAATAGAGCGTCTTCGGAAAAACGTAGCATCAAACCAAAACATGTCCTAAAGCTGCTGCCTGGACAAATGGCACCGGCTATCGAGGATTTCTAGAAAAAAAATTAACAAAGGTGTAATGTATGCCCTCCAAGTTTGTGAAGTGCCCATCCCACTTGCTAAGCTTACAACATCGATTATTTGAGAGTGGCTTTCAAAAACAGTGCTGAATCGATATGAATATTGTGTTGTAAAAGCTTAAGGGCATAAATCTTAAGCGAATGAAAGCATCACTTCGGAGCTTACAAACTACAGAGCACACTGCGGCCGCTTGATAGATTCGAGGTGGGCAACAACTGCTTCCGGCAGTGCAGCCATGTTTTTCGGACTGAATGCCAGTTCCTCAGCAGCGCAGTGGAGTCTGTGGCTGTGCCAACCAATACGTGTAAAATTTTAGACAGTGTCTTACCAATAGTTTGTACCTCAGAGATGAAAACTTCATGCATACAAGGCAGAGTTGCATAATTTCTACTACCATAACATGATCTAGTGAGAACTTTTTCTTTAGTATCATCATCATCATCAGCCTGACAACGTCCACTGCAGGACAAAGGCCTCTCCCATGATCCCCCAGTCAACTCGGTCCTGTGCTTGCTGCTGCCACTTTATACCCACAAACTTCTTAATCTCATCTGCCCACCTAACTTTCTGTTTCCCCCTAACCCACTTGCCTTTTCTGGGAATCCAGTCAGTAACCCTTGATTACCAGCCGTTATCCTGTCTATGCGCTACATGCTCAGCCCATGTCCATTTCTTCTGCTTAATTTCAACTATGTTATCCTTAACACCCGTTTATTCGCTGATCCACTCTGCTTTCTTCTTGTTTCTTAAGGTTACACCTATCATTTTCCTTTCCATCGCTCGCTGCGTCGTCCTCAATTTAAGCTGGACCCTCTTGGTAAGCCTCCACGTTTCTGCTTCAGTATCATAGAGCCACAAAATTTGTGTTATGAGAAAAATTGGGCAAAATCGCCACACAGATCGCATTTACAAAACGCAAAAAAGCCTTCAAGTAAGTCTTCTAACGAAACTGCTTGTAAAAGTTACGAGGATGCGCAAAAGGTTCTGAACATAAGCATTACATCTCGCTTCACAAGAATCTGTGCTCGAAGATCGTGTAGCCTTGGCTCTGCAGCACGGAACTCATGAAACAAAGTATAGGTCTAGGATATACCACTTGCTGATGTGCCGACTAGAGGTGCATCTCGATGTGACGAGGTAAAAGTGTTTACGCTGCCCTGTAACTTTGCCTGGCAGGTGGCATTGCAAATTGTAAAGTGGCAGGGTACTATGACAGTCCCGCATTTCTACGCACTACTAATGGCCTGGCTTCCTGCTTTCTTTTTGCACACCTTGTGTTGTGCAATTTTTTTGGGTGGTGACATCTGCATTTGTTTTTTTTTGTTTGCACTGTGCTTTGAGCTCATTTTTGTAAAAGCATCAGGACAAAAAAAAAAAAGAAAGAAAATGCTTCGTGCTGTTCTGTCAGAGCTACTATCAGTCAAACCAGTACAAAGTTCCAATATTTGGCATGTTTTGTCCAGAAAGGAAGAAACCTTTTTCACCTAAAACTAAATAACTTGGGCAGTCTTGGTCAGGCCCTCAGTGTAATGCTAATTTGTTTTGTAAATGTCAGAGTTTAGAAATCTTGTGCCTAAAAACTGATGAAACAATATAGTATAAAAATTACTGAATGTTTGAAATCAGCAAATAAACATATATAATCATTAATAGTTCTATAAAAAAGTCTGCTAAAAAAGTTTAAAAGGAGTTTCTGAAGCAAGGTCTTCATTAATGAAGGAATATTTATCATCTTGTAAATTTTTGCCAATTGATTACATGTTTTAAACATATTTCCTTACTGTAAGAATAAATTTGTATTATTATTGTATTAGAATTTTACGATATATGACATGGACGATGTGTCACAGTTTTGCATACACTGCCATTTAGCTGTTTGCGCATAGTGAATGACCTACCCAGTGACAGTAGCTTAGTACAACTGCACCCAGAGCTACAATAAACAATTAAGAACTTAGTAATTGCTTATAATGTACAGTAATGCAAAAGCACTATCATATTCTTTATGTATCGTAAATATATTCATCAGAAGAACACTAATATAGTTTTTTTTGTTGGCTAATCCTTTCATTCGTATTATTCTGTATACTATATATGTGCACATAATACACCTAATTTGCATTTGTGCTCACCCATTTGCACAAATGCCAGTTGTGCCAAACATGTCCACATGCTAACCAAACCAGGAATTCCACCAAGATCTTCTGGAGCCAAAGCCTGAACCATATTGGCAATGCAAAGCAGGGCACGACAGCGAACTGCATGAACCCTGAAAAATTACATAATAGGCACAGTGAAATCTAAAAACACCTACAGAAAAAGTTATTGAATTTCATAAAAATTGTCACCTAGATGCACACTTTCATATATTCTACATCACATTCACAGCAACTAACTAAGTCTGCAGGGTGCACCGGAAAACACAGATTGACCTGTGCAGTGTTTCTCTGTTACACCAACTACTCGCATCTTAAAGAACTTAATACAAAAACCACGCTGATTATCCACTGGAATCAACTATTTTGTCACAAATTTATATCTCTAATGACTTCCAAAAAAATGCAGAGTACTTGGAAAGAAGATAGGCCTTTCAATATAACGATAGGTAATTACTTGTTAATTACCTATCGATAGGTAAAACGCTACAATCAGGAACTAATTTAAACATAGCTGACAAGCAAACTTTTTTTTTCATGTTTCATTACACTTTCGCATTAATTCGCAGACACTAAAAATATCAAAGTATCTACACCTGAAAAACTTGTGTAGCGATTGGCACAGTTCTTTAGAAATATTGCCCTAAATGCAGCTCCACTAGTGTGAAACGCGAGCAAGTGCTTAGCACGGGCACCAAGTGATTCCATTTTCATAGAGTTGCCCCTGCTCTTTTTACTAAACCAACGATGACACCAGTGTTTGAGGTAAGCACGTACGGTTTTGCCAGCACAAGTAGAATCTTGTTAAGGAGAATCTCAAACTCGGGGGGGGGGGGGGGGGGATGCATGCTACTTTTCTGCTGCACTTTATCGACTTCCTGCTTCTTAAGGTAGTTGAAGTACCTGTCATCTGCAGCGAGTTCAGTAAAATTGTTTCTCCATTCAGACGTAGCGAAGAAGGTGCTGGAGAAGTGCCAAGTAAAAAGAGCAGTCAAGCAAAGTGCTGGCACCCTCTCGGCCGTAACACGTGTCAGCCATACGTTTGTGAAGTGTTTTTATCGTTTTAAGTTAATTGTTGTAATTAATTTTCGGTTAGTTTTGTGATATTCATTTATTTAGATCTTGTTCATTTATTTTTACTCACTTTTGGGCATTGCTTGCTTTGTTTTAAAACTACATTGACCACTTTATTGCGAGTGTTATCAGTCACGACACATAAAATTTACGGACAAGCCAGACCCCTAAAGCGCTATGTACTCAAAACCAACTTTTAGTAGCAATCTAGCAGCACTGGTCAATATGGATATATACTTATCTGAGAATGCAAGAATGACAACATGCTACGCAAGATGGCATACTGTCATTTCTGTATTGTATATATGGGTTGTGGGGGTGCTGACACCCCCTGTAAAGTTTGCGCCGTGTGGCGCACGTGTCTCGCCCAAAAGCCGCATTTCAGGCTACAACTACCGGGTGGTAGGTGGCGTTGATTACCACTGTCATCATCATCATCGTGGTTGTGACAGTGGTAGCGCCGGTGGTGACCCCTGGCAGAAAGTAAGCTTTGGTGGTGGGCGAGAGTTGAGCGAGTCTTCTGCGCGTGGCGGTTGCCGCGAACGGTTGTCTCTCGCGGTGGGTCTGCCGTGGACGGCACCGCGGGCCCACGTGGTGAGTGAAGCATTGGCGACGCCGCCTTTTGTGTGCTCTTGTGTTATGTTGTTTGAGTGTCTGGTATCTTTGTGTGATGATCACTTAGTGTGTTAATTACGATTGATGTATCATTCGGCAGACGATATCGTCGTTCTAAATTATTTAAATAAATGTATGTATGTTATTTGGTTTGTACCGACCTCGTTTTCTGTGTCCGTTCCCTCCAAGAGCGTGGCGTGGTGCTCGCTCACCACATCTAGACCCCACAGGGTACAAGCTCTGAAGGAGCACAAAAAACTTTAAATGTGGACCAGACTACAGCTTGGTTTGATTACTTGTTCAAGGAAACAACAAGGTTAATAATCCCAGTGGCAATTCTAAATGTGCGATTCAGACGTTTATACAATACCACAGAAGCACAGGGCACTTTAATTGCAAATGCCCAATATGAATTGGATTATTCAAATACTGCTATAGAAGTGAGAAATCAAAGCTTCTGGTTGTCCGCTGAGAACTCTTTAGAAGTGATAAATCATTATTGTGCTTTTTGGGCGTCATTAGACTATAACCTTAATGAGTGACTTGACATATAAACTGCCTGGCAATAACTGTTTCGTAGATCTCATGCTCGCAAAATTTTTTCGTTGAAATATCCCGCAGGATCGCTTCCTGTGAAGATGCGCATATCTTCGACCAAGTCTTAACAGCGAATACAGCTTGAAAGGTAATCCACAAGACAATGTTGTCATAATTTTTAGCACATAATAGTGTGGCCTAGCTGAGACTATATGAATATTACATGCTACTTGCTGTGTCAAGCCAATCAAAATGACTCGTAACAAACAATGTCAAAGCCACGTAATGAAGCACGATTCCCAATCACAAAGATAGCCGTTGTGTGGCTGTAGTTTCAAATCGAAGAGGTTCCTCCAATAAAATATAATTATAACAACTTTGTTTTTGGTGTCGCCACTCACGAAACAATATTCGTGTATTCCACAGTATAGAAAAACTGATGAAAAGAACATGCTTAATTCAAGTCATCATGGTTTAAAAAAAGGGGCAACCGAGAGGTGCCTTAAATAGACAAACACAAGCAACTGTTCACTTTGTGAAGTAAGAACCAGTACCTTGTAGGCACCATGGCTGAAAGCTTGTGCTCAGCAAGACAGCGGCCAAATGCATCATCCATTTGGCTCACGTGGTCCAGGACCTTGGAAACAATGTTTTGTGCCATCAGAGCCTCGTGAAATTCAGACGATATATTGAGGGGAAACTGCAATAAAGATGAAGTATTTTAGCCTACTAAAAAAATGCTGCTGTTAAAGGACAATTATGCGGTTTCTTACAATGGCAGAAGTTTCTTCAGTCTCCATATCACCATCAAACGTATCGGAACTGTTGTCAGAAATGTCAGCATATTCAGACTCTTGGTCACCTGCATCACCACATGAGCACAAATTATACCTAGGTAGCATAAAAGCTGTGCCAAACTCAACCATTTCAAATTGCTTAAAAATTAAAGAAAAAGAAGACATGATCACTCACTTTTTCGAGGTCTAACACACTTCAGAAATTGTTGCCTTCAGACACAGTTAATAGCAATTTGCAACAGCAATTATTGTTTAAACTATAAACCAAACCCCCACAGCTATGCTAAAAAAACAAAAAAAAACTAGCGAATCTGGCAGCATGACAGCATAATTGACCATGACAACATAGTGAGAGTGACAAGGGCGTTGGGCACTAAATGATGGCAACATGGTGATAATGACGTTAGCAGGGGCATTTCTCTCATGCATGGGGCTTCCCAAAGACATTACGAGAATGACGATTGCATTGACATCATGAATGCATTAGCGATGACCCCATGATCACAAGTTACTGACACCACTATGGTGGCAGCACAAAGATGCAAGCCATTAGAACTAGAATCAACTAGTACCTCGTGAGAAAACTGTCGTTCCATCATGAAGTACAACCAACTAGTCCAAGTTTCAATCTAGCTACAGTCTTGATGCAGGCCATAGCACAACAAAAGAAAATGACCACCCATTTAACATTTCTAAAATACTGTCAATATTATCCATATGTTGCATCAATTAACAAGCTACAGTACTACTAAAATATTTAATACTAGTGCATCACTCAAACCAGCTGTCACTGTGAGACATATTTAAGTATAGTCTTTTCTGTTACAAACACTTCCAATATTTTTATTGACAACATCGACAATGTACTGACTGTATTTAGCTTTTTATTCCTCGTATCTCACAGGACTGGAACAATCTTCCAGGATCAGTCAAGTCCATTGTAAATCATTCTCACGACTCAAATTTAAGTGTATAACCTTAATGAGTGACTTCACATATAAACTGCCTGGCAATAACTGTTTCGTAGATCTCATGCTCGCAAAATTTTTTCGTTGAAATATCCCGCAGGATCGCTTCCTGTGAAGATGCGCATATCTTCGACCAAGTCTTATCAGCGAATACAGTACAATCAACAAATTACATGCAATTGTTTTTTTTTGCAAACTTCTGATTCTTGTTTGATTAGTTACGACCTGTACTGTTACTTTTATAGCTAACATTGTATATACAGAACTTTTGTATTATGTTATTAAATGTACTAGCCGCTTCTATATTGCCTCTGGCTCTGAGGGTAATTCCAATAAATAAATAAATCTCTACACATATCAAACATTACTGCCCCCCTCTAACAATAGAAACACTGGTTCACAGGAAAAAGAGTGTTGCACTAGTTAAAATTACCAACAATCATACCCAACCTACACATTGACATCACTGACTTAAGAGGTGGCGTTGAAAAAAGCTTTTTATTTGTTGACCTACAGCAAAGAAATTTGGCATGCATACTCATAAGTGTCTCAAATAGGGAAATATGCAGTTTCATCATAATACCTTCAGTAGTTCTCAAGTTACATAATGCTACACGGTCCAATTAAATCGTCTGCTCGTGGAAAGCCTAGCCATGTAACAAAACATGCCAGGAAGCTGCGAATAGTGTTGATCTTTACTCAAAAGAAAGCTACAGGGTATGGCACTCTCAGAATTCTTTAATAAGCTCTCTCTTTTTTTTTTAAAGATCATCATGGCTGCCGACACACATTGTCAGAAACAGTGGCACAGACAAATCATCATCTAGAAAAAAAAAAAAAAAACAGGGCCATAAAACAGAAATTGAAGATTGTGGTACCCACAAGCAGTGTTCAGGGATTCAGGAAAAAAAAAAAAACAGAATCAAAATCGGTCCAGTCATTCCCGTGCTACTCTTTCCACGAGCAATGCACAATGTCCAAAACACACTTGTGAGAAAAAGCCTAAGTTTTCGACAGGCTTTTTTCGATGAACTTTTTTTGTTTCTCGTTGGATATTGTTGAAAAACGGCACACACTAAGAATGACCTCTACGTGCTTCCATAAAAATTCTGAAGCGATACCATAAATACTTTATAAGAGACAAATTATTTCTTCATTGAACCATGTGGAGGGGCTGAGCATAATGTCAAAAAAAAAAAAAAAAAAAAAAAAACAGTATTGAGAAAGCTGCGTTTAAAGTTTCAACTTTTCTTTACATCTCTAAGACACCTGAAAATTATATCAGGTTTGTCTCGTGATATTTGACATCTTTTCATGATTTACTCCTTTCCATGATTTACAAAGAACAAGTATGGATTTCAAACCAAGTTCTTTGTATGAAGGAGTGGTGTGATAGGTATGATAGAAAAGATTGTAATTGAATAAAACCATATACTGATATTATTACACAGATTTTTTGTGCTGAAGATGTAATTAGCGTAATTAAGTACTTGATTACAAATGTTCACTGAACTTTTCTTTATTTGGAGAGAGGTTTATTGCATCAGAAAAATGGATCACACCATGACAGCCTATGCCTTCTTTCCAAATAACAAAGTTATGGGCAGAATACTGGTGGCACAGGAATATTAATCAGTATAATTAATGACGCGAAACGGGCATACAAAAATTCGTGCCCCTGATTCATACATGCTCTTTTGCTGCTCTAGCCGTGAAATGCGTCATCATACAGTCGGTCACGGAAACTCTAATCTACAGCAATTCATTCACCTCGGAACTTTCATAGACGTTCGTGGCGATATTAAGCACGGCTCCAAGCACGTCTGAATCACATCGCAAAAACTTATTGACAGCACTCCATATGACCATGGGGTGCGCAGCCGGCGCGTAATGCATTTGCCGGCAGCGTTCGGTGACGATGCGCGAAATGTGTAACTACGATGACAAAAAATCGGCGCGCACTGCGCTTGGCATTGCATTTTCAAATGACGACGTGCGAAGCTGCTAGCTGCTGTTCCGAGCAATCCTTGGCAGCGAAAAGGGGGGGGGGGGGGGGGGGGGGGGGTCCGCTGCCGATTTGTAAAATGCCCATACGTGATTCAGAGAAGCTAGCGAGTGATGTGCTACATTCCTTGCGAAGCACGTCGCCAAGAGTGCGCTTGCGCGTCGTTTCTGCCCGCAGTCTCACTGTCAGCGGAGTTAGGGCGAAAGCCGACTCCCATGATGCGCCGCACTCGTAGACCGCATGCCCGCTCGTAGTAATCTGATCGTGCATCCGGTGCGGCCACTCGTAGTAATCAGATCGTGCCGCCACTTACAGCTTCGTTGCTTGTGAAGAAGCACGTTGCCACGAATGCGCTAGCGCGCCGTTCCTGCCCGCAGTCTCGCTGTCTGCGGAGTCGGGGCTAAAGGCGACTCCGATGACGCGCGGCGCTCGTAGACCGCGCGCCCACTCGTAGTAACCTGATCGCGCATCCGCTTACTGCTCGTAACTAAAGCGTAATTATATCATAAGTGATCATCAAGCCGTGAACACGTCACGAAGTAGCGATTTTCGAGAGCCATGTCCTCGCGACGCACAAGCAGCAGACGACGATCTCCCGGAGCGAGCATCGGGCCAATGGCGAGGCGAGCTGAGGCAACATGGCGGCCACAGCCAGTGAAGGGCCTAAAAACAACCTTCAAACATTTGCTTTTTGTGCGCTTGTTTTTAACGGAAGGAGCCAGCTGAGGCGGGAAAGTTAAACACGGAGAAATGCTCTTTCCGATGAGCCCAAGAAGCCAGCTCCCGGCCCAAGCATAGCGAAGCTATAAATTTTTGAAAATCGGTGTTTTTTCGCCATTTCCAGAAAAAGTTTTGCTACCTAGGTGGGTGAAACAAATTTTCCGAAGCACTTCTGCACGGTTTTCAGTGTAGATATTATGGAACCAGATAGAAAAAGGGTTCCAGAAACTGAAAACTTCAGTTTCAAAAAATCGATTTTTTTGCCATTTTTCGCGATCCCAAAGCTGCGTCCCCCCTTAACATGGATGGCATAACATATCTGCACTCTCAACTTGACATATTCTTGGACTTCACATTCTGCAAAAAGCCTACAATTCGGTGGTACTATACATAGAGGCACAAAAGAAACTGCATACATATAGCCATATTGATAGACAATGCTTTCTAACTACCGGGTCTAAATATAAAATGTCCAGCTAAAGCAACTCCTTAGCTACCGGTTGTTTTTTCTTACCTACAGCTTTGCTCAATAGCAAGCCTTACACAAGCCAAATTTGTGAATTTTACTTCCAGCAGTGGTAACACGTATACACACAAGCAAGAAAGAAGAATGCACCACTGTTCACATTATACAGCACACTGCACAAGCTGCTAACACGAGGCCCTGCTATGCTAAAACCTGCAATAAAATACTGAAAACACTAGTAGACTATTATCTAAGCTTAAGCGCGAATACATAGAACTATGAACAGGGGTAAACAGTTCTGTTTATTGCAGCTTTTGCCTTTATGAAGTTTGTACAAGTATTTGTGCAAATACCTTCTCCACAGCAGAGGTTGGAAAGAATTTCCAGAGCAGTTTGCTTGGCCATCAAAGCTTCCAAAATCTGTGCAACGTATCTATCAATGACCTGCTCCTGTTGAAAGTGGCATGTAATTTAGTTACTTGCTACAACACTCGAACAGATCGGCTAAATATGTACTTACTTGCACTTCCACGTCTTCTGCTTCCACAATTCTCTGTTTCGTAGCAGCCTAAACGCAGTATACAGAAAAGTATGCACAAGTATTCATTATACAGTCAATTTCACTCAATAATTTACTAAAACAATCATTCAGGTGTTTTATGGCAAGAAACTGCATAGCTTGGCCGATTTCCGCACAGTGACCTTATCAGAGAATTCAAAAAGCAGAAATTAGAGTTGCAGTTAGAAGTGCCAGCTGACATATATTGCATGCTATGAGCCAAATAGAACATAATATAGTTCAGGCTGCATATAAACCCACAATGAAATGTCACTGAACATAACAGCAACAATGGCTAAATTTCCATTTTTTTATTGCTTTACTGAAGTAACACCTAGTCATTGAGCACATTCTACAGCAATACACAAAGCTGCAATACATGGCATAGTAACTACTGCCAGCAACAACAATGAATTCACCAAAGATAGCAAAAAAGTAAAAGCCTTATGTGGTGCCTGTATTTATAAAAGAAAAGAAAAACAAAAACCATCAGAAAACTTGTTTCATTACACACTGTTTGCCAGAAATATCAGCCCATTGGCTTCTCATTTTCTGACTGAAGTTACAGGCCACGACATAGTGCTCCCTAAACTCCACCACATCCTTCTCATCCTCCAAACCACTGAAACAGCTTGCAGGGAAACGCTACACACTCACTAGCTTTCTCCCGGGGCAAAAGATGGCACAGCAGTGTATTCATTCAACTTGGTTAAAAATACAAGAATGCTAAAAAAAGTGTATGTCAACATGACAAAAGAGTGCAAAATAAAGGAAAAAAAGGGTGGTTCACTGTCTTGTTGCAGTCTTCTTTCCTCTCTCTCTCTCTCTGTGTCTGTGTGTGTGTGTGTGTGTGTACCACACCTATTTTCCAGCAGCTTCAATTTCCAACAGTTTCCAGCAGCTTCAATTTGGTTTCTATTGTTATGTCAAAGACAGGGCTGCATCCAGTGTCGCTAGTTGCTCCTATGACATTGTCATGACACCGGCGTCGGTGTGCAACTGCACCACAAGAATCCCACAGCTCGAAACTGTATAGCAACTGTACCTCGATTAAACATTTGAACACTTGAACATGCCATGGCAAGAATTTTACGAATATGTGCTATAATAAAGAAATTACAGGCATTAGAACATCCGTTTCAGCTGGATTAAAGTTTTCATGTGGCCTCGCTACCCTTCTCCAACATAGGAAGGGGGAGATGTAGCCCATCGCCAGGACTTGGCCCACTTTGGCAAAATGACACGACCTCAGCGATACGTCATCGGTGTGCAGCCAACGACTCAGCAGGGTGTCTTCAACACGAGCATGTGTCATAGCGGCACGGTGAGAAAGCGAAAGAAAGCGCTGTTAGAGGAGCACCTGACCCCTAGTGGTAAAGTAGCGAGATGCCTCATAATCTCGGAGGCTCTCGTTCTGGCAATACCGCTTCTCCAGGTAGTCTCGGGCTCCCCAAAAAGGCAGAGGGCAGCACAAGAAACTGAAAATGCGGACTGCCAGGCCGAAAGTGTATCACCGCAGGGCCAAGGCGCTGTTTCATAGGGCAATGAACCAATCGGAGAGACCAGTGGTACATCGAATTGCCCATCAGCAAGCTTGCATCACTGCGCCCCAGAGGGGGGTTGGTCAGGCGAAGAAAACAGGCCCGAGAAGTGTTTTTCGAAATGAAGGGTCTGTGTGGTGTGCGTTAATGTAATATTCAGGAAATGTGATCACCACGGTCTACTGTACAAATTGGCGAGCTTGTTTGAGGGTTGTAAAAAGTATCAGCCTGTTTACTGGTCCTTCAATAGAAACAATGTGTAGAACATTTATAACTTTTTTGTACTCTTCCTGGCTCATTTATCTCCAAAATGTATATTCTGAATTTTTTTTTGAATGTCTTAGCATACATAGCACTTTTCATTGTGCTGTTCACCAGCTGAAAACGAAGAATCGCAACTTTTCATATTTTTATACATTACAGAATATTTTTGTTGCTGTACAAACTGTATTTTTGGAAAGAACATTTCTCTACGCATGATTTGGTATGCCACAGCGTGTGCTGAAACACTTTTCAAGCTGGCGAAAGCTTTCTGAGGCATAAGAAAAACAGCCATTTTCTCGCGGTAACGAATGAGTCAAGGGAAGCACTGCTCTTTTAAAGGTTTTCTTTTTTTATGCTCGATTTTCATGAAACTTGGCGAGCTTAATATGTTTGCATGCAGGTTACGAATATGCAATTATTTTTCTAGCATAATTTGTAGTTTTTAAAATACAAAATATACATAAACTTTTTGAAAAGCAAGATATTTTCTGAACTGAGAGACGTATAGCATAGATTAGTATATAAGAACACAGTGGAATCTTATTGACATGTCTTTTATGGGAACTAGAAAATAAAGACCTATCATGCAAAAATTGCATTAACCAAAGAGGTTAAAAAAAAGGAGAAAAATGTGGATGTTCCGTCAGCAACTCCATTTTATTGAGCAACATTAAAGTAGCTGATTGGTTTGCGTTGTGGTTTCTTCCCTTCGTTATTGGACACAGAGGCCGCACCAGGCAGCGATCTTTTCGGAGCAAAACCAATGCTACTGCAGCCTAAGCAGCTATGCAGCGTGCAGATTGTGGCTTGCTGGAACATGGTTTAAGCTCGTATACCGAAAAACAAACATAGTACAGTAGACTCTCAGTAAACGGAAATCTGTTAAATGGAACTACTGCCTAAGGAACTATTGCCTCTGCAATGCTTGGTTTCGAGCTTGTATTCTGCACCCATGTTGACCTTTCAGTAATTGGGAACTCCTGCTAAATGGAACATATTTTTTCGATCCCTTCAGGCTCCGTTTACAGAGAGTCTAGTGTATTTCTAGATTATATCGATCAGGATTCACTTTCAGAATCGCATATTTCAATTTTGAGCAAAAATGTGATCATAATAAATGCATGAAAATGCGTTATATTTATAGGACGTTGGCCAGAAACAAAATGAAAATCTCATTAGGGCAAAAAACATGCAGAATCATATCAACAAGATCCCATTTAATCTGGAATCTGAACTGTGTGCAGTGAAACTAAATGGATGTTCCAAGTCTATCTGAACAAAAGTTGTGGTATGTTGAACACTCACAAGTGAGTGATTTCAAGCTGGGGTTTCACTTGCAAATGTTCAACATCCCATAACTTTAGTTCAAATAGGTTTCTAACATTCATCTTTCTTGCACTGTACACAATTCCAATTCCAAATTATTGTGATATGCTAATTTGCTTCGTAACTCTCTCAGTTTAGAAGAAATCTTGCTCTCGAAAGATACATGAAATATACTGTATTTTAAAAACTACATATTGCATCAGAAAAATAATTCCATATTTGAAATCAGCACACAAGCATACATAAAATTGGGAAGTTTCATAACAATCTATGGTGAAATAAAAAAATTTAAGCACCATGTCCCTCCTTAAACCTGTGTTGCTCAAAGTGTTGCTATTATTGCGATAGCAATTATACGGACAGTCTCGGCTGGTTTTTGTTATCGCCGATGCCGCTGTCATTCACATATTTGTATATGTTTGTATATATGTGACGCTACGATGGATGGCCACGTCGCCAATACATCATAGCGTCACACGAGTCGACAGGATGAAGACCTGGCGGCCACTTCATCAACCAGCCACCATCTTAGAACGTCTCAGCAAGACGCAGTGACCGAACGTGGACTACGAAAGTACATCCCAAGACTACACCAAGACCAGCATCACGACAGCACCATCAGACGACCTTGACATCCCCAAGTACACCGGATCAGCGGACGACGGACCCGTTCAGGACTGGTTCAACCTGTTCGAACTCCACGCTACCGCTGCATCTTGGTTGGAACAAGAGATGGTTACGAACTTCAGCGACTACGTCACCGGTGAGGCATTCAAATTTTACCTAATTCACATATTCGAGAACGACGAGTCATGGCAAAAAATCAAAGAGGAGATGATCAGCCGTTTTAACGACTATGACCAAGACCTACTCATTGCCAACCATCAAGAGACAACTGCACACTATCGTCAATTTCCTAAGCAGTCCTCAAGCATTCGAAAGTCCAGCGCGAATCGACAAGTGCCTCAAGACGAAGTGGCACATGCGTTTAGTTACAGAAGGCCATGCGTATATTGGGAAAAACCCAAGCGTCAAGCGCAGCTCCCTTGTGCACGAAAGTCGGCATTTCCAAAGTCGTGGCACCAACATACGACACGAGACGTCGCTCACCCTACTGATGCCTTTCATGCTTCGTCTCGCATACATGGTCCACCACCTGGTTTTCTACGACGCAGCTCTTCAAAGGCTCCTAACGGTCACTATTTGTGTCATAAGGACGCCTTGTTCATGGTAGACCAGCTGACACATGCGGAAAATACCAAACAACGCCAAGATGACTCAAAAAGTGAAAATCAGTCTTCACGCATTGGAGCAGCTTACTCCCCATCTCGCAGACTTGGCCCCCCTCCTGGTTGTCCATCACTTGGCTCTTTCGTGACTCACAATGTCCATCTCACATCTAGCACGCTCACAATGGTCGGGATAGACCTGCGGAGCTCGGACGATGCTACGCCAAGCCCTGGACTTACCACCCAGATTCATGCGCCAGAACAGCTCGCATCGTTAGTTGCACAGAAAGAGGGCCATTCACAACTCAAACCTTACCGAACTACCCCTGTTGCAATGTTGCTGTCCAGTGCGCAGCCACCAGAAACTCCAAACACAGAAGGCTCAGACGCATCGAACGTCGCATGCTACCAGGTGCAAGAGCCACTCATAGTGAGCCGCGAAGAAGAAGCCCCTGATGAACTATCTGTCAACTCTGAATGTTTTTTGTCGCAAGAGTTCATTTCCACGGCACCGCAGACTTGCCAAAATTCCATTTCGCCATTTCAACCTGGTGATGCGACGTCACATGTGGTACCCTCATGCAGTGGTCACCAATCCAAGAATCGAACCAATTCAGAAGCAAATCTTACATCAAACCTCGTACACAGT